AGAGAGCCAAACAAATATCCCACAAACAGGGTTGAAGATGCAAAAGGAACTTTCCATTGGTTGTCACAAACAAGATTCCACTGTTGAGACACTAAGATTAGAAACAAAACTAAAAAACCCAGCATGAAAAAAAACAACAGTAAATGGACCTTCATACTGACCTCAGTGACTATTGTGGACTGGTAGACTTCTTTGCTGAAGTTCCATCCATCTAAACATCCTTCTAGTGGCAGATTAGTGAGATTAACATCCCTCCCAGGAATATAACCCTGGTCAGAGAGATTTTTAACCGCAGCCAGATTATATCTGCTGCACTGGCTCTGAACTGCTTCGTCACCCACTGTTGTAAAGGGAATGATGGCATTTCTCCATTCCTCTGTCAGGTTTACATCTGGAATGAGACAGCTGTGTTTTGGAGCTGCTCCTGCAAAGATGATGTAAAGTCCGTTGAATCCGGTTGATACAAAAACTGTGTTCAAGAGGAAGAAAGTGAACCAGAAGAAAGGACCGATTTGTCCAAGAAATGCAGTTTCCTCATCGTAGTCTCCCATTTCCCCCCTTCCTTCTTCACAGTGAAGTGTGGAGTCCCTCTTCAGCCCCTCAGCTCAGTGCCAGAGTTATAGGGTTGAGCTCTCTGTGGGGTAGAGTGGACCGGGTCCCTCGGTGGGCCGGAGTCAGAATTGAAAAATTTCCATTTCCAAGTCCTGTGAGTATTAAATCAGCCGTGTGGAGCGCAAGTTTCTATCCAAAATGGGAATCTTCTCAAATGCCAGTTGACTCTGTCAGAGCCTTCACTCAGTGATCTGATTTGCTTGAAGTAAATTAACGCTCCACAGTCGTTATTCTACTGTACGTACCCAACAACCCACACCACCATGAAAAAGTTCCTGCTGTGGTATTTTCCCTAAACAGCATTCCTCACTTTTAAATACTCCAAGTAGTCCACATGACTGTACTCTAAATGTTGCTAAGTAGCACTAAGACTCTTGTTGCACTGTGTTAAAACAGACTGTTGAGACAAACCTGCCTTTATGGAGAGTCCTACTGAAACTGTGTCAATTGGATGTTTGCTTTGCTATCTTAAAGATAAACTCTTAACTCACATGGTCCCTGAGAACCCACACATATTTTGCAGACCAGCGTTTGTGGAGCGACACACGAATCTGTTGGGTCAGAATATGTATTGATGTTTTTCTAACCGTGTTTTTGGAAAACATGAAAACCAGACCTACTGTGTGTGAAAGTCTTCAAGATTGTAACTCTAGAGGGAGACATTAAATCCTGTTTTGCAGAGCAGCCACTGCTAGCGGATTACATAATAAGTTTTAACTAAATAAAGCTTTCTGTGTTGGTGGTTTGCTCGCAAGATTAGGGAGCAGATGTTCCCAATGAAGTCAGATTTTTGCTGTGTGTCGTGTTTAAGACGTCCAATTGCAGATTTTTCTGTTTTTTCTCAGAAATAATTTGATAAACTTCACAGAGAAAACTTCTGTGCATTCTGCTGGAGGACTGGAGTGACAGCTGCGCCGCTTCATGGACTTTAGTATTCCAGACACAAACTTTTAGAAAACAGCAAACAGATGTGAACACAACCTCTGAATTAAAAAACATTAATGTGTCAAAATAATTTTAAGAAATTTCTACTCTCCTTTGAAAATCAATTAGTTCAATCAGTGCATTAATTATTAATCATCAGGACAGTATTGTAAAAATAGAGTTCAGAGTCTCCAGATTGTTTGCAATATTTCCACTTCCACTCCAATTACTAAACGTCAGATTTAGTAATGTGACATTTTGTGCTTAACAGTTTCAAGCTCTTTGTTCCTTAATAAGATCAGAGCATGCTTATTTGAGTCTTTTATCCTACATACACAGCTAATCAAACTTTTGAATCTGATCTCAGTTGTCAGCTTGCTTTGGGTTGATGACTTCAAAACATAAAATGTTAAAACTTCAGTCAAGCCTGGAATGTTTAGAAATTATTTAGTTGTGAAAAAAATAACTGCTGTTCAGTTTCTGGTCTTCTGAAATGATTTTTTAGATATTACGTACTATTTAAACTACAGGGGAGAAAGTTTCTCCTGTAAAATTATAATATGAATAATATAATCCAGCATAATGTGGAATGCTGAATTAGGATTAGTTTAAAGATGAGTGCTTCCTCTGTTTTGATGTCCAGAGGACTCGAGTTTTATTAATCTGCCCAAATAATATTTTATCAGGACTGCTGGGCTTTATCTGACTTCTCTCTGGTGAACATCTGATGGCAGAGGTATTCAGTCCCACATCATTAGCAATAGTCTAGTTTAGGCCTCATGGTGACATTTTAGGGGCTTTGAGGATGTGGTGATGTGAATTTTCTTGGACAGGTAAATCTGGGAATGTTTGTTATTAAATTTTAATGAAAGTTTTATAAGGTTTTTTCCTTCAGTGTTTTAGATTTCTTATGTGTATTTTTGGAAATTCTCGAGATTTATATTAAATATCCGTCTGTCCAACTGCATAGAATATTTTAAGCGTCTCCTATTTTGTTTTACATCTGGATGCAGATACGCAGGCTGGCAACAAAATGTTCTTTGGATTACCCTCCAGTTTCATGGCATAATTTAATTTGCTGACATGTTTAGGTATTTACATTTAGCTTTTAAATTAATTTCCTTCCAGAGAATTATGCATTTGTTTTATGTTTTACAATATTTTACACCATAGAGTCTGAGAGAAACACTGTTAGTTCCTGCTGAGTTTATTTTGTGATGAAGTCTGTTGCAGTCTGTGTAATCATTAACATCTGTTTTAATACCAGGTGTTACTAGTCTGATGCTGAGGATCATAGTGCACACAGTCAGAGCCTGACTGCGTACACGTGACAAAATATACAAGCACTTGGATTCAGCCAAACCATTAAGGGTCTGGTTTATTTTAGAGCTTATTTTAGCTTTAGTTTCCTGCACATGTGTAGCAGAATCAAAATGTTGGACAAATTAAACAGCTACTTTAATTATCAGACAGCTTGAGATGGGCACCAGCTGACCCTGCGAGAATAAGCAGGTTAAATAAAGGATGGACTTTCATGATCAATCTGACAATAATTTGGGGATTAACTGTGTATGTTTGTGTTTTGATGGACTTGGAGAAAGTATTCCAAACATTAGGTTCTGCACAGCCAGATTCTTCTGCAGTTACTGAACTGCCTTGTTGCTGAAAATTTGCAATTTAGAAAAGATTACCTAAACTTTTTGCAATTGTATCACATCTTATGATGCATCACATAAAAACAAAGCATATTTAAAAACTTGCCAAGTCTTATTTTTTAATTTATAACTGAGTTGTCTGTAAATGTCTTTTTGTCTACAGCACCCCCTTGTGGACGACTGGAACTATTTTCTTTATTTAAATACAGCATCCATCTTTGAAAACTAAATGCAGTTCTCCCAAGTAAAGTTAAAGACAAGCAACAAAAAGCCATGAGAACGTTTCTCCATATGGACCTGCAACCTTTAAGGTGTTGGGAGTTTTTGGAGTTTGCTTGCGAATGGGATTGGAAACTTGCTTATAATAATCCTACTTGCAGAAAATTTCTCTTATCAAAACGGGCATCACTTTAATATGGATTATATTGCACATAAAGCTCTGGAGCCTCTTGAGCCACGTATTGTTCAGAGGCATCAGGTTTGTGTTTGATGACTCGAACACTGTAGGCTGAAAGCATCAGTTTTGTCCTTGAAGTTAAGAAAGTCACCTCGAGTTGCAGTAGGTGAAGTTATGACTTGAGTTTGCATTTTACTGCACAGTTTAAATTGAACTGATTTTTCTAGAGTCATTGAAAGATTTCATCAGTTCCTTTAAGATTCCTAAGATACCTTAGCATCCACTTCGACAAGAATGAGGCTCCTGGGTTGGTTTTGTTTAGGAAAAATAAAAATGTTTCTGTTTGACATTACCTCCAAACTTCACTTACTCAAACGTTTATAGAGTATGAAGTTGACACAGCTGCAGTTTTTAATGACAGTGGATAATAAACTGGAATATTGGATCTGAGCAGAGTATTGAGAATCCGTTTTAGTAAGTCCCTGAGGCCAAAAGCAGAGAAAAAGGGTCTTTTTCAGCTTGTGCTCGACAGGTAATGACTCCAAATCTACAAAATGCAAGCTGTTAAAATATCAATTTGCTGTTATTATTGACTGAATGTCAAAGTTTCTCTTTAAAAACTTTAAAAACTCAGAGGTTACTGGTTTGGGACCAGTAACCTCTGAGTTAAACACTCTGGTTCCTCAAGTCTTTGAAAAACACAGCATGCTATCAAACATTCAATGTTTTACTCTCTGTTTAAGCCACGTCAGGTCGAAGCGCTTCAACCTTGCTGGCTGAGCAGGCAGTGTGGTTTCTTTTTATTATAAATTTGGCAACGTTGCTAAATTTATCAAAGGGGAGGAGGAATAAACATTTTTGTTTTTAAGCTGTGATGCATCCCTGGAATGCCACAAAGGTGAAACTGGACTTTGATGCTGATCATTAAATTCCAAACAAAAATACCAAAAAGTGAATTTAAGGATCAGTTTTCTACTGTATGAAAACTCAGAAGAGTCAACACTTTGAGTGAATCTAATTGAATTTATGCTGCAGTGTTGATGTAAGTTTAATTGATGTTACTGACAAACTTAATGCGTTTCTGACTTTGAGAATCAATTCCTGCAGGACAGCAACTGGACTTAGGTGGGGAATGTTTTGCTTCCCCTTCCTGAAATTTATTTCTGGATGTCTGAATCCTCTATAATTGTCAAAAACGTTAGAAATTTTGTTTCAATTTGTTTTTTGGGGCAGGATGTATATTTCTACCTTGAAAACACAACACCTTGTAATAAGTCTGTGAGAAGTCTATATTTGTGAGGTCAGTTAATTATTAGAGAGGTGAACTGTGGTTTGGCCGATAAAAAACAGGCTGTTCAGAATGAAAAAGCAAAAAAAGACATGAAGCCTGGAGGGCGGGATGAGGGCCCAGAATGAAACCCAGCAGCTTCAGGAAAACCCGGATTTCCTCCATTCCGCTGTTTCTCAACATGCTGCCGGACAACAGAGCCACTGATTACGAGGCGGCGACCTCCTTCCTGGGAGAATGGGGACGTTTCCAGCGGCGGGTCTTTTTCCTGCTCAGCCTGAGCGTCGTCCCTAACGGACTCACCGCTTTCTCCATCGTGTTTCTGGCCGACACGCCGGATCACCGCTGCGCGCTGCCCGCGCACCTGAACCTCAGCGCCGCCTGGAGGAACAGCAGCATCCCGCTGGAGGAGGATGCGAGCCGCGGCGGCGCTCTGGTGCCCAGCAAGTGCTCCAGATACAAAGTGGAGTATTTATTAAATTACACGGAGAGAGGCTTGCTGCCCGGATTGGACGTTAATCTCTCCAACGTGCCCAAAGAAAGCTGCCTGGACGGATGGGAGTTTGACCACAGCGTGTATGAATCTACTATTGTCTCTGAGGTGGGTCCATCGGATGATGCTACTGATGTCAGTGAAGATACCAGTCAATAGAAACCAACCAAATTACTTAACCTTGTAACGAGGATACATATGGAAATACAATTTTATAAGTATGGTTAAAAAAATGATAGTTTTGCAAGTAATATTCTTAAAAGTTAATGATTTTTATCTACATTTGAGAAAAAATTGTGTGTGATAAATTTTAAAACTATCATTTTATGAGACCTACTTTTTTTCTTCATGTGTATTTGATATGTTCACGATTTCCTGGATCTAATCTGTTCTGCTTGTTTTTATTTTCCTGTCCTCTGCAGTGGAACCTAGCGTGTGGCGAAAGTTGGAAGACTCCACTGACGTCGTCCATCTTCTTCTGTGGTGTTTTCACCGGCTCATTAATTTCTGGACAACTCTCTGACAGGTGGTGGACCTGTTTGTAGTTTTGGAGAAAGATGGCAGCATGAATCATTTTGTATCCTGCAAGTTCTCCATGAATACAGAAGGGATCTTTGGGTGATGCACTCACATAAATAATAACTAAAAAACCCAAAACAGACAATATTGTTTTGACTGGCTCTGCTCAGTCCTGTTTGTTAAGTGCAGGAAATCTTAATGCCCATATTTGGTCAATAAATGCATTAATTCACAACATACAATAAGATTTTTTTTTTTACTTTATTAAATTACCTGCAGTTTATTTTTCCCTCTTATGTTTTAGAAAGTTGTAGAAGTTGTCAAAATTGGATCCATCAGGTTAGATTTTAAGGAAAAATCCTCAGAACTCTTGAAAACCCTGATCTGTAGAATTAACCTTTGACCTCTGAATAATCATTGTACTGTACACAAGCTTACCCAAGACTCAAGACAATGTTTTCTGTCTGAGTTTGATGCTGTTTTGTCAATCAGTCACAAACTTCCAACAATAAAACACCCGGGTCAAATGTTAGCTCAACATGACTCAGATGTCTGAGTGGAAGTGTTCAGGTTTCAGAACAATGTGGAAACAGACGCTTTACTAACCCATAGAGGTGCTTCTCTGATTCTCAGATAAATCTAATAAGATATCACCAAGAGAAGAGTAAACCTCCACAAGTCCAGATCTGTTGATATAAACAGCAGAAATCATTCAGTTTGGGAAAAACAACAGATTAGAAATATTCCTTATTGTCCCACACAGCGGTAATTCAGAAAACAATGGATTCCTGGTCCCAGACATGATGAGCATGATAGGTGCTCATCATGTCTGGGATGAGCACCTATCCCAATAATGAGTAATAATAATTACTCATTATTACAGCAGTATTCTGCTGCTGTCTTCAAACAGCAGCAGAATACATTGTGAAATTTCTGAGAGTAAAACGAGTAACAACTTAAAGTCATTTCAGAAAACATAAATCTGTCCCTGACAAATCTTGAAAGATTTAAGCAAAGTGGGGAACATTTTGCAAATGAGTTTAACATGTTAGCAAGGTGATGTGTACAAACCTGAGTTAAACCAATTTTGTTTGGATGAATGGAGCAAAAACAAGCAAACAGCTTTAAGAGGCTCATAACAAGATCAACCCAAATCAGTTTAAAAGTCAATCTTCTTATTGTGAGAATATTTATGGAAAGTTCATTTAGAGTTGCAAAAATACACCTTAGAAGAAAATCTGTTTGTGCATTTAGTACAAATTTTACTTTATTTTCACAGAGTTTTCATGTCTACAGATGAAATATGTGTTTTGAGAGTCAGTTTATCTGTGCGCTTAATGTCTTCTCACATTTTAAAACCGAGCCGATTCCTCTCAACATTGATCCAAATAGTGGAAGAAGTGAAGCTACTATAAATATTATTGACTTTTTGTCATCTCCTCACTTGATCCAATCTGTTTACTTTCCAATTCTTTTATCCTTCATGTTAATTTCAGGTTTGGGAGGAAAATTGTGATGTTTGCCACCATAGCCCTGCAGGCGGTCTCCAGATTCATCCAAGTCTTCTCTCCAAGCTGGATTGTTTTCTGTGCTCTGCATTTTATTGTGGGGATAGGCCAAGTTTCAAATTACATTGTTGCATTTGTTTTAGGTAAATCAGCTCAAATGTTTTCAAATTACTCATTATTACTTAAACCCAGTTTAACAAACGTGACTTAAATTTGTCCGTTATGACGTTGCTTTAAGGAATGGAGGTTCTGGGCCCTCGGACCCGAACAGTTTTCTCCACGGCTGCGGTCAGTCTGTCCTTTGGTGTGGGCTACATGCTCCTGCCGCTGTTTGCGTTCTTCCTCACTGACTGGAGGATGCTGCTGCTGGCCCTGATGCTGCCCAGCTGCCTGTGTATGCCTCTCTGGTGGTAGGTGGGTGTGTGTTGCCATGTCTGTGTCTAATTTCTTCCAAAGTTTGAGTTTGATCATTTACTTACAATGTCTTTATGTTTTTCTGAAATGACGCTTCATTAAGACAGTCAAAGATGCTTTCCATTAAATCTGTCCTTTCCATTCATGATGGCAAGCTAGATTTATATAACATTGTGGCCTGCATGCTTGGGGAGAAAAAGAAAAATATTTACAAAGGTTAAACCACAAGAAGAACAATCCAGTGAAAACAGAACAATGTGCTGGTATTGTTTTATAAAAACATGAATAACTGCTCGAAGAAGAACTAAAAAGCTTATAGGTGGGTTTGATCTGTAGTTTACATGGGCTTCTATTAAATCTGCCCTTTCCATTCATGAAAAGCTACTGGATCAGTCCTGTCTGGAGCAACAATCAAATGTCTTTAGTTTTTATTTATTTTTTTTACAATGTTTTATGTTCAACAGATTTTCCTTTTGAAATAGATTACATAATTAGTAAAAGTTATTTCATTACCTTTGAAATAGTTGTGAATACTTAAACTAAAAAATTGATTAGATATAAACTTTTGATGCATTTACAGTGCCTCACAATTGTATTTATATCCTTAAACTTTTTTCAACAAGTGTCAGTTTATTCTTTTGGGATTTTCTTTTAAAACAGATTCTGAAAAAGTGGCGTGTTCAAGTACTGAGCCCCACTAAACGAACGCCTTGCAGAACCAGTTTCTGCAGCAATGAGTCTCTTTGTTTTGCCTCTACTTAGTTTGTATGTCTAGTGACTGACATCTTTTTTTTTTAAAGCCTCTCCATCAGTGGAGCATTTGTGAATGTCAGTTTCAACTTTTGCCACATACCTTCAAATGTATTTAGGTTTGGACTTTTCATAAAAATGTTCTGCTGCTCAGGCTGTGTAGTTACTTCTATGTGAATATCTGCTTCAGTTTCAAATCTTTTGAATCCATCTTTCAATCAACTCTGACTAGCATCCCCGCAGCATGACACGGCTTCCCCCATGTTCCCCCATGATAGTGATTGTCTTTTAGTGTCGTTTATTTCTGTTTTTCACCATTTTGAATGTTTGCCAGAAGAATTCCTTTTGGTATTATCTGACCAAAGCAACGCTTTTCATGCGTTCACCGCGTCACCTGCATGGTTTGTTGCCGACTGCCAATTTAACTTATTCTAGCTTTCTTTGCACACTTCAAAGACATTTTTGGAAGGCAAAACATTTTCTGTCATAAGATGAATCTAGCTGAGGTGCAGCTCTCAGTTCAGATGACCAATTAGTCTTGACGTGTTTGCGGTTGGGTTGGGTAAGACAAGAATTGAACAAATCAACAATTTTCAGCTGGTCTACCATTTCTGGAAAAAGTAATGATTTGAACTGAAATTAAATGACGCAGAGTCGCTACATCTGCTACTTATTTCACTTCTGAAATCAATTAGCTGCACTGGATTTTATTTAGGGGTGTCAGATGAAAAGTGCCAAAATGCACTCAACACTTTAGACTTTTATTTGAAATGGTTTTGGTTTGGGGTTGCATCATCAAAATGCAAAAACAAATTCAGTGTGTCAGAATACATTTGTAAGGCATTTTAAAAGTACACATTTTCAGGATGTTTTACCATGTTGGTTTTTACTTGTTGAATCTAGAAAGCAAAACATCCAATGTTAGATTTACTATCTCATTTGTAAACGAGGTCAGTCTATATGAGGGCATAAGGGACATGAAAACATTATTTCAGTGTTTATGAAAACCTTTGAGCCACGCTTGCCAAACTGTCTTTAGTCAGATGATACTGCATGTAATATTAGAAATATTCCTACAGTCATCTGTTGGAATAACTTTGAAAAAAGAAAAATAAATGTGATTTTTTTATGTGAAACAAACAGAACAAGAATCTCCCCATAACTGGAGTTATGAACCTGCGTCTGCACAGCAGTGAGCGTGTTAATGTGAACAGAACCGGTTTGCTGCATCAGGCTCTGAAATACATTCTCTTGCATTTCATTATGTGCTCACATTGATTCAGATTCATCATCATTCTCTAAAATAATTGAGCTGTTTTCTTGTTGACTTTGTGGCAGGTTCATTCCAGAGTCTCCTCGATGGTTGCTCTCTCAAGGACGAACAGAAGAAGCTGAGGCCGTTCTCAGAAAAGCAGCTGAAATGAACAACATTGAGCCTCCAACAGTCATCTTTAGCTCTTTACAGGTGAGAACATCCTTCATTAGAGAAACTGAAACATTTACTGGAGTTTCCTACAGTCTAAATATTTTGTAAAGACAAATTGTCCATTTTTCTAAATTTCTTAATCAAATAATTGCTGTAATTAAACTGTAAAGAAACAGCCTCTGGAGCATCATGAATGAAACTACTTTGATTAGTTGTGAGTGGACCTAAATATAGATATATTTTTAATTTTTAGTTTTGTGTGTTCTTGGAAGCAAAATATATTCAGAAATTAGCTTCTTATTGTTAAAGGAACATTATTATTTTGTTGCATACAACTTATTTTGCAGTTTAATTGTTCTATAATAATAAATAATAATAAAGGGATATAACTCCTTGCAGTTTCCCCTTCTACACTGGATTCCTCTCTTGCAAATATATTGTACATGCACCATAACATTTTCAACTTACCTTGAAAACATTATAATCACAACATCCAGTGAATACATGTGAAGAATAAGAAACCTTAAGGAACATGGTTGAAGAAAACAATCTGGTCAAAAGAAGAAAATCTGGAAAGCAAAGTAACGATAACCTTCAAACAAACAAAAAACATCCCCACTGGAAACATGGTAATGGCAGCATTATCCTGTGGGGTTGCTCTTTTAAAAACTGGTCAGATTTCCTGCTTGGACAGATGAAGCTGAATAAGAGACACTTTTCCAACCTAACGAAGCAGGTTAGAAGTTCACCTCTCAGGAGAACAATGGGCTGACAACTGCAGCCAGATGCTGATCACTGCATTATTTAGTAAAAGGGCCAAGTCAAAGATTAAAATGAATTGGAGAATCAGTGGCAAGGATGGAAGCATGCTTTTCACAACTGACCAAAGAAAAAAAAGGCTTTTGAGTTTGCAGCAAGTGGCTGCGAACTCAAAAGCCTCAGTGTTATTACGGTACCTTGTGGCTGATGTCTCAGCTTGTTAAATAGATGTCTGTTGTTGTTCTTCATGCTCCGTCGCTCCACAGCACAGAGTGAAGACCGAGGAGAAGAGGCCCTGCAACATCTGTGACCTGCTCCGTTCTCCAAACATTCGCTGGATCTCCATCACGCTGTGGGTGATCTGGTGAGTCCATGCAGTCCCAGTGGGCCTCCACATTCCACACACACACACACACACACACACACACACACACACACACACACACACACACACACACACACGCACGCGCACGCACGCACACGCACACGCACACACACGCACACGCACACGCACCCCCCCCCACACACACACACGCGCACGCACACCCACACACACACACACACACACACTCACACACACACACACACACACACACACACACTCACACACACACACACACACACACACACACACACACACACACACACACACACACACACTCTTTGATTAGATACATTTCTGCACAAGCAGTGCACACAGTCCTTTCATGCGTCGCCTTTTGTTCATGTGTCATTTAAAGAAAATTTCAGAGCTTTTTTGTGAACATCAAAGACACGTCAAGTCCTGTGCAGCGACCGTTATGATGAAAACCAGGATTTATGCAATTACACAACATGGACGCTCTCTATCCTGAGTGGAACAAGTGCAGGTTGATTTTTTAAAATATTACAAGGAACCATGTTTCAAACTACAAGTTTTCTTGAAATAGACTTTTACCTAAGATAGAGCATAACACAAAGTTTTTTAATGTTCAGGATTTGTCAAAATATGAGATGGTTTAAATAGAACTTTCTAATCATCACACTGAGGCTCCAACAGTCATCTTTACACAGTTACAACCACATCATTTGTTGCAAAGGATGAATATTTCTAATAGAGAAAATAAAAAAGCAGCTTGCAGTGGAAACATTACAGTTAGTTTAAAGTGCAATTATGCATTCAACCAATATAGAGTTAATATTCTGATGAAACTATTCTAACACGTAAAGATTGAATATTTTTGTATTTATGCTTCAGGAACACCATCACCATCGCCTACTTTGCTCTTTCCCTGAACACGGCGAACCTCAACGGAAACGCCTACTTCAACTGCTTCCTGTCTGCCCTGATGGAGATGCCAGCTTACGTTCTGTCCTGGGTTATGTTTCGCTGGTGCTCCAGACGAATGAGTGTTTTCTCATCGCTCTCCTCGGCAGGGTTGTTTCTACTCATCATACAGCTCTTACCAGGTCGTATGAAATCACTGTTTTCACAATTTGATCATATTTTGTTGTATAAGCTTTAAATTAATGTTTTACTCGCTGTAGATTTAGATGCTCTGTCCATAACGTTTGAGATGTTGGGGAAGTTTGCGGTGTCCACTGCCTTTGCCGTTGTGTACGCCTACACAGCAGAGCTGTACCCCACTGTGCTGAGGAACACGGCTGTCGGCGCCTGCTCCACGGCTGCCAGAATAGGCAGCATTATTGCTCCATACTTCATCTATTTACGTAAGTTGTTATCTTCTTTTACTTTGTTAGGTTAATGAGTTAAGAACCAATTAATATATTAATGTAGCGGTCAGTTCAATTGATTGCACTTAATAGTTTTTATGATTTTCTCCTGATCTCTCTAGTTGTCTTAATGTTGGCTTCTTATTTTAAACACCCGACCAGTTTTCAGGAGTATTTTCAGGTGTCAATATTTTAAAAGGCCTTTGAATAAATACGTTTTTAGCTGTAGTTTTAGGTAGCAACATTCAAGTTTGTGTTTCTGGGGCATGATTATGTGGCACAAAGGCATTCTTCAAAATAGGAAAATACAAACTTCCTCATGTAAACCAAATGTGTGTTTATGTTTATCAGTCATGAAATGAGAGCAAGTGAAAACCTGGGAGCTTGAACTTTCCTACATCTGCAGTCATAGAAATAGTTCAAACTTTTTGCAGAAAGAGTGGAACAGTGATAAAGGTTGGATGATGACCCAAGTTTATCTTGTTATTGTGATGGAAGGAACCAAAATGCAAGTTAACAACCAGGAGATAAAGAAAAAGAGTTTAAATCAAAAATACAAATATGTACAAAAAACTTGGAGGAGCCTGCAGGGATGTCAGGAACATGAGACAAAAGGAAAGAGAGGTGGCTAAATAGTGGGAGGGCGAACGCTGGAACAATAGACCTGAGCTGATTGGCTAACAGGCTGCAGCTGTGAGGGGCCATAGTACACTGCAAAAAACTAAATCTTACCAAGTATTTGATTATGACCTTTTACTTCAAATATCTTAGAACACTTTAAAACAGACAAAAATAACTTAAAAAATGCCTGAATCTTGCTTAAGTAAATAATTTCTTTATATTAACAAAAACGTTCTAGTTCCATTGGGAGATTATTTCACATGGAACATGGGAAAAATGAATGAAGTGAATTAATCTGCCAATGAAACCAGTGATCTTTCAGACATATTAAGGACATATTGACTTAAAACAAACTCCTATAACTTGCTTGTAAGCAAGTTGTGTTTTATTTCAAGTGTACTAAGATATTTACACTAGAAACTAGAGCAAATTACTTGATAACATTTTGTATTTTTGCAGTACAGAAAGCAGGCAGAAGGGGGGAGAGGAAACAAACAGGGAACTAGGAAAACAAATGTCACTGAAACAAAGAATAACAAAGAATAATAAACAAAATCTAAGTAGAAAAATGGAGACTGAAAGACTGAAATAAAGTAAAACAGACACAAGGAAAATAAAGCAAACGGACAATAATCAAAACTATGAGCCCAAAATCCAAAACCAGGCTAAGATCCTGACATTCAGTCAGCAGAATGGAGAGACGTAAAACTGAATCTCCAGAGCTCATCGTTACCGACTTGCAGCAGGAAGTCTGGAAGCTCAGATTGTGGTTTGGTTTCTGTAGGGAATTTGCATTTTCTATACGTTTATACTTTGGTTTTTATAGGGTGCTGACGCTTTAGCCACACAGTCTACAAACATGTTTGGGTCATTTTATGTGCAAGATGCCCAAAGGGGTGAGTGTGTGTCTGTCTCTGGATATGGCCACCAGCTTCTCTGACCCGGCAGGATAATGTAGATAATGGCTGGACATAAATACAGGCGCTAGAACTAAGGATTATCTGTGTAACCCGAACTCTAACCTGCTGTGCTGTAAAATCCTTGTAATCAAGGAGGAAACCACATACAACCAAGCAGAGCCCAAGGCAGAAACACACCATCAACCAGCCACTTGACACAAAAGCTCTCTGTAATTGTCTGACTTGAATGTTTATGTGTCTTGTTGTTTACAGCAGCTGAGCAATCCATTGATTGTAGACCAGGTTGTTTTTCACAATCCTTTCTCCTCCGTTTGATGTTGCGACACAGGAACCTATTCGGTGTCCCTGCCTTACATCCTAATGGGAAGCCTGACCGCTGCGGCCGGGTTGCTGAGCCTCCTGCTGCCTGAGAGCTTTGGAATGCCGCTGCCGGACACAATCAGTCACATGCTGCAGTTTCCTGGGTAAGACTGACCCTTCAGGCCTCTGGCCAAATAACATTTCATTCTTTTTAAATATTTTACAAGCCTGATCTTGGAATAGCATCACAAAGATTTACTTATATTTTTCAGAAAAAGAGAAATATTTTTGATGGCTTATTGAGGATAAATGGGGTTTAATTATTCAAAGTTCATTTTTGCCTGTATTCTAAACACGATGTTCAATCATCATCCTGACACTCATCATGTTGGACCAGCAACAGAAACTAACTTTAGTATAATAAATAATCAAGCCTCAGAAAAAAGCTTCTTTGTGATTCTGAAAGTGTTTTTGTGCTGTAAAGTATGTTTTTATGATTTTGTCAATATACTTATAGTTGAACATATCTGGCAACATGAAGGCTGGGAAGAGAACTGCAGCTGTTTAAAATGTGACATCTGCAGTTAAAACCAAACATTTACACATAAATAAATGTTTTTTTTTCTTTTTTAATGAGGCTTGAACCTTTTCTATTTTAGGTCAGTTAGGATAATTAAAAACTGCTTTATGTTGTAAACACTAGATTACTTGGTGCAGTATTTTTTTATTTGCTTTGATTTTGGAAATGTAGGATGTTAATAGAAATATGCCTTCAAAAAAAGCTCAGATAATGGAGTCAGTCCTTCAAATGCTTCATGTAGATTAATTAGTAACATGTGTATGATGGATGCAGATGTGCTGAAACTGGTTAGTGAGTCTTGGGCGAGATGACAACTTACATTTTTATGTTTCTCCAGATGTTGTCAAAAGACACCAAACACTGAAAATGAGGAAAAAGCTGAAGAAGAAACGACTCTGGTCAAAAGGAGTCACCCTCAAATCACTCAGCAGCCATGAAGTCCAAGAGTGCAGAAAAGAGAAAATCCATCTGATCTGGGAAACCAAACAGAAAAACATTTTGATGATTCTTTGTCCAACATTTCTGTGAACACCATTATTGTTATCATTTCTCTCTATTAATACAACTTCAGCCAGAGTTGATAGTGCTGATAAACTGAAAATGATGTAGCAGAATAAACAATTTAGAAAGTAGTTACTCAAATACAGATTAGTCTTTACCTTAAATTTGGGTTTTACATGTAACTCTGTGTAACTGTCAGACTGTTAAGAGTCACATGAACCTACACGTTTTAGCAGTTTTCTAATAAATCATTCATTTTTGAAACTGTGATAAAACTTATTTTTTACTCCACATTTTACTAACTTGTAATGACTTATTTTTGATGTTAGTTTGATTACGACTGATTTAAAGTTACATATTGAGCTGTGAGTTTGGGAGGCAAAGCATTTTAACCAGACAGGTCAAAATGGTGAGATCTTTGTGATTCTTTTATGCAAACAGATCATCATCTTAAGTCCTTGTGATAAAATGTGAAAATGTGAGAATAGAGATTAGTATTTGACTCTAGAGTCATGACTAGATGGGTCAGTGTGGTTGTTGTGGAGCACTTCTTTGGTCACAAATGGTAAAAAGAAACATTGAATTGACCAGGGAGAAGGAGAATCTCTGTTGGGAGTGAAGTTTCCATGTATAATTTATATTCTTGTTTATCGCAAATAGTTTGAATTTCTGAATTATTAAAGCATGGACATTGTTTTTGAAATATTTTGATAAAAAATTCAAGTATTGATGCAAAAAATAAAAAAAGGCATGCATGTTGAAATGTAAAAGACCCAAACATATTTGATGATATTAATCGAAATGATAATTATCTTAATGCAATCACTCTTCCCTACTTGTAGCCTCTAAGTTTTATTTACAGACATTTTTCCTTCACAACTGACTTTCAACAAAGAGCTTCAGGTTCCAACAGGCTTGCCACACATTTCCTTGTTCCACCCCGTTGTTTAAATTGTAGTTTAAAATAAGAATATCTCAGACGTGCTGCAGTTTATTTTATTCAGAAGGATGGATGCAAATACAGTTGGAATTAGAAGCCAAGTCGTTATGTGCCAAGTAAATGAGAAACATAAGCATTACAAACTAGTTTATAACTTATAAGCATCAGTCTCCAGTTTCTAAATCTCGTCTTTCGCCACATTACAAGCATTTCCTCTACATTCCACCAGAGGGTGCTAAAAGCTCAAGGACAGAAATGTGCCATTATCAGCCAACTTGTTGCTCTTGTGGCATGCAGCTGCTGTTACAAGCTGGCCTTCAACTCTAGCATCAGAAAAATCTACAAGGAGCAAAGAGAGAGACAAATAAAGTTTGAATATGTGCCTAACTACAATAAACAGTTATTGGGGTAAAATTACAGACATTTTTAAACATATAAAAATAAAGCAGACATTGACTTCTGACCTATTTTGGCAGCCTTGACAGTATTTCTCTCAGACTTGATGCCTACTGTACTGTATCTTCTCTTCAGGGTCACAACGCAGCTTCTATTACTGAACCATGTGCATCACTCGGCTCCTTGGTCTTCTTGTTTTGGCTCTTGTTTGAATCCAACTAAAAGACGCTTCTCTTTGTGCAAAGGCATTAAACCATTTATTAAATAACATTTCTATCCCAAACCAGACAGTTGGCCCTTTGTGTGACTGGAGTTGCAATTAAGCTTTAACTTGCATAATGATGTCTGAGGTTTGTTTAGTTTCAGTTGACCTGGTCGAGGTGATGGATGATTCTTTCCTCCTCCAGATAATCATCATGACATTAGAACAGCTGACCTTCAGCTGAAACTACATGTAATAAGAGGAACATTCCTCACACCACTAAAGACGCTCCAGTAGTGGATTTCTAACAGTATGTCATGCTGACATTTTCCCCCACATTTTGGATTTCTTGCTAAAATAAAAGTGCAAATTTATCTTTTGTTTATCTCATTTTTATTTCACTTAAAGATATTGTGAGAATTTCTCTGAAGCCCCACTGCACTGTAAAAAAGGAACTCATGGGTTATCACATTAACAAAAGAATATCATGTACTGTTAACTAAATAATTGCATGTTTGAGCCAAAAACATGATAGAATCATGTTGCAAAATAAGATATTCCACAACTTCAACGTTATAAATTGAATCATGTTGAGAGAACATAATTCATTATAGTCAGACCGATCCTATGCTGAAGACCACGAGTGAGATCACGGGATATCACGCAAGATTACGGGAAATCACGGGATATCACGCGAAATCGGTTTTCTCTCGCAAATGGAATAAAATGTATTCAAGGTGAGATAACGTGATTCAATTACGTCAGCTAGATCTTCCGCCAAAAAAAAAAGAACGTCGGGGCGTATTACATTAACAAAGAAATATCATGTACCGTTCACACAATAATGTGGGTTTGAAGCGAAAACGTGATAAAAATGTTGGATAAACAAGATATTCCACGACTTCACATTTATAAAATTGAATCATGTTGAGCTAACATGATTCATTATAGTCAGACTGATATTGCTGACGACAACGAGTGAGATCACGGGATATCACGCGAGAACACGCGAGAAAATCGGTTTTTTCTCTCAACTGGACTAACGTGATTGAATGACGTTATCTCAACTTGAATACATCTAATTAACATATATATACCCACCGCGGGTGGTTCTTATCCTCTGAGCTCGGGTCCTCTACCAGAGGCCTGGGAGCTTGAGGGTCCTGCGCAGTATATATATATATATAATATATATATATATATATATATATATATATATATATATATATATATATATATATATATATATATATATATATATATAGTAACATATATATATATATATATATATATATATATATATATATATATATATATATGTTTTTGGGTTTTTTTTTTATTCCATATCAATATTTGTCAAAGTTAATCTAATAAAAAAAAAAAACACAGTGACGTCAGTTCCAAAGCGCTATTGTGTCAGACTCATCTCCGCTGAAGAGGATCCAGGTCAAGAGATTACGGAAAATCACGCGAGATAACTGTCTTGCACCTTGTTGGGTTTTTTCAAGGGCAGAGGGAGATTCCTGGCGTGCATCCACTTAATTTGAAGAAGGTAAGAGTCAAACTATTTCATCTAAATCCATATAAAAATATGTAACTTAAAATGTCTCTACATTTGCACCATTTTCTACTTGTTCCATACTTGTGTCACATTATTTCATGTTCTGTAGATTAAGTCGGTTAGGTTAAGGCAGATAGCTATATGTGATATCATTGGTAAGTTTACATTTATCGCCGCACCATTTTAGGTACATTCTGTGCGAAAAAAGTCTGCAGAGCCATATGTAGTGTACAAAGCTGCTGCCAGAGACACAAATGGACCCCAGAAATGTCACAGTTTTGCTCCTCCTGAGCTCCCTGGAGGTTTAGTGGATTTTAACACACGGATCTAACATCAGTCTATTTCTAACTATTTTAATTCTATTTCAGTAATGTTACTATGGAGGTAAATGTAGATACACACACTTTGGTACCTTTCTATCATCATCGAGATTCTTAATTAATTATGGTAATAAAAAGTCCTACATTTCAGTCGGTGAAACCTGCAGAAAGCATTGCTTTCTGAGCTTTGTTAAATGTTCCTTAAATACCTGTTAGTTATGGATTTCTAGTATATTTTGTCAGGCTAAAACTCTCAATGGATTATCCATTATTACAGACTTGAGCTTTCTAATTTTTTTCTTTAAAATACATATTCCTCTGCTGTAAAGATGTTGGGTTTTTTTTTGGACTCTTCTTTGTTGTCCCCAAATAATTGTAGCTCAGAAACAATATTGAAGTTCATTGGTTTAATTTTGAAATGTTGACGTTTTTTGTGTTCATTGTATGTGCTCATTTTGACCTATGTTACTATTGCTTTTACCATGTTCAATTCACCATTGTTCTGCACATATGTGCTTGCATACAAGTGTCCAGTGGTTATATTCATGAGGCATTCAAGGGACTTGTACTAAAAGATACAACTCAGTTCAGTATGAATTGCATATTTTAATGGCTGAAAATATATCTGATCTCTTTCAGAACATCACCTGTCTGTAATCCACCTGCTTAAGTTCTGGTCAAGGGGCTCATCGGCTATCAAATTATAGATTTCAGTGGCTAATAGTAAGTTTTGCCAGATCTAAAGTGACTGAATGTAGTGTTAGAGAGCTTATAAAGCTAGGGTTCAGCTAAACTTTTATTTGGCCAGTCTGTTTTATTTGTCTTTATTTGCGTGGGGATGTGGAAATGTAAGGAGTGTAGTCTCTCTCTGTCTCGTAGATATGACCTGTTAAAACATTTTACACTTAAACACCGGCATATGCGACGTTACCCATGCCCACACATAGACTGTCCATGTACTTGTAAGACATGGAATGCTTTGCATATTCATTTAAGTAGAAGGATATAGACTGTGTTGACCATTCTGTACTTTTCACATATTTCTTTGGTGATATATTCATGTCTTTATTTAAACATCTAACAGCTTCAGTTAGATGTTTAAATAAAATGTTAAACTCCATTTTAGTCATGGCACAATGAAGGGATACTAACAATTTTAAATATCTTTCAAACAGACTGCAAGCCACTGATCACTTTTGTTGTGACTTCCTTTGAATGTAGCTATGTTTTCAAGTGTGTGAACCTATACTGCTGGAGTTTTGAGATTGTTCTCTTTGTTTTTTGATCTGCATATTTAGGAAGACACTGCTGAGGTCAGACGAGAGTGCATCCTCAAAGGTCTGTGTGTACCTAAATGAAGATCCAGAGAAGCTGGTGAGGGAGTACATGGTATGTTAAATTCTCTTTGTGTTTACAATAGAACTCCTAAGAGTTGTTAAAATACTTTCACCAACTAAGGTCCATGAGTGACTCAATCAATGTCAGTCTTAATTTATTTATTTAATTACATGTGAATTGTCTGCCCCCCAATACCCTTCCCTAACTCCCTTAGGACGTTGATGAATGTGCAGAAATGGCCAAAGCCGAGACTGTCCTCGGAATCGTCATTTGAGCAGAGGGTGCAGAGGCTGCCGATGCACATCTGGATGTTGGGATTGTCCTGGAGGGGGTGGAAGTTATGAACAGCTTGGGCAGTGTATCTTCTGCAATAGTGATGCTGCTGGGACTAATCTACGCACTAAACTTGAGCTACCCTCAAGTTTAGTGCGTCAGCACTCAACTTGCTCAGTAACTCAAGCATACCTTTGAAGTAATACAGGAAATAATAATGAAATTGGATGGAAAGAACTTATCAAAGAAAGCACAAGTTCTCAATATGAAACTCGCCGCTAAGTTGAGTAAAGTTTCATATGGAAAATGAGTGTTTAAAGTCTGCAGTAGAAAAGATTTATATTGTTACAGTTCTCTAAGTTGAGCAAATATACTGACATGTTTTATGTTGTAAAGAATTGGCTGGGAAATGAAACTGTAACCTTTTTGTAGTTGTTTTTTTATTTCAATGTCCAACTCAGCTGTGTTTTGTGCTGTGTAAAAAAACGATGTATAACAATTCTGAAAATACAATTGTGTTGTACCTTTTCTAATTGTTGAGTGTTCTTCCTACACTTTCACCTAGTGCTATCTTAAAATGCTTCATTAACGCTTGAAAAAATGTCTTTGAATTAACGTCATGAAATAATGGAAAGGATTTCCACACGATTAACTAGCTGTCTTTTAGCATGAAGCATATTTGTTGAGCTAACTTACTTTTAGTGAGTTGTACCTACTGAATCAGGTAGTGTGAAGGTACCACTGTAAAATAAGGTGGTTTCAACTAGATTTATATTCATCTTAATGAAGTTACATCAATGATTTGGTCCTAAACATTGCAGATTAGTTGGGCGGGCTGTATTGCATTACACTGGGTCACGCTATAGTAACTCAGTTAAAGGAACCTTTAAAACATATGTTGAGCCAACACATTTCATTTGAATTTGAATAACCATAATGAATGGAGTTGAGCCAACTCATTTGATTTACAATCATCCATTGCATTACCATAATTCTGGTTAAGCCAACATATTTGGTTTAAATTAGAACAACCTTAATGAATTATGTTTTGCCAACTCATTTTATTTATATAAGAATAACCACAATATATTACGTTGAGCCAACATGTTTGATCTAGAATCGCCCATTGAATCACCATTGTAACAAGTTGAGCCAACACATTTGCTTTACATTGGAATAATCTTAATAAATTAGGTTGACCTAACACATTTGCTTTAAATAGGAGTAACACAAGTACATGGTGCTGAAATAAAGCAAAGTAATCAGGTGGAAATTCTTTCCATAATTTTTTTATGTTCATCCAATGACTTATTTTTTTCAGTGTGTACAACTTGTTTGTTCGTGAATTTACTGATGTTGGCTGTTTGTTTTATCACTTGCAACTTAAAACTTGCTTGAATTTGAACAGAAATTAAATGGACAGAAATGTAACTAGAAGAGAGAAAAGAAAATGATTAAAATAGGAGCCGATTTAAATCATTGTATTTCTCAGATGAACCACCTCCACGTAGCGAAACATTAAGAAAAGTAACAGCATGAAGACACGTTGGAGCTTTTTTTATTTAGGTCTGTTTACACAAAAATATTAATTTTATAACAAAATCCTCAGTTAATCTTACAAACCAGGTCATCAAGATGTCAGGCAGCAGCAGTTCTGTGGATGCTCGATTTGGTTATCCTAATTTAAGACCCATGCAAGAGCATTTCCTCACTGTTTTAAATATACAATTAAAGAAAAGCTCATTTTTGAATCGTTTATTTTAGATTTGCTGTCAAGATGTGTAAATAAATGGCACCCTGGGCTGATCTGAAACATTACTGCATACCCAGATTAACCCAGCCAGGACCACAAAAATTATTTAATGGCATCATAGTGGAAAAGACCAAAACTCTTCCATTCAGTAGGAAGAGTTTAAAGAAGGTCACGTTGCACCAAGGAGGAGTTCTTAGTCACAAATTCTTCAAAAGCCAGTCAGAACATGAGCTGTGATTAAAAAGATCATCTGTCTCCAAAGATGCTCGAAAATAGATCCTATAAAAACATTATTTAGGGTAAATATGGAGAAATTTTGAGTGTTGATTAAAAAGCAAAACTCTAAAACTTAATTTAAGAGCCGCAACATATTAAAGCGTTTCGTGTTTCTTCATTGGAAGTTGTAGTTTATGATCCATCATAATCAAGGACAAATGACTCCCATCGGAAGTTTAGTTGCTTTGGGAGGGAAAAGCAGCAGCACAGAACAAGAAACACCCCAAATCTTGTCACAGCGAGTTGTGGGCTGGACAGATTCACAGCAGGAAATAAACTAGACTGGAGAAAACCTCAACCTGCGCGCATTCATCCATGCGCCGGACTCTGGTTCGAAATGCCCGCTGCAACTTCTGACACCAGCAAAATCACTGATTACGAGGCGGCGACCTCTTTCCTGGGAGAATGGGGACGTTTCCATCAGCGGGCGTTTCTCCTCCTCTGCCTGAGTTTCGTCCCTAATGGACTCACTGCGCTGTCTGTGGTGTTTCTGGCCGACACGCCGGATCACCGCTGCGCGCTGCCCGCGCACCTGAACCTCAGCGCCGCCTGGAGGAACAGCAGCATCCCGCTGGAGGAGGATGCGAGCCGCGGCGGCGCTCTGGTGCCCAGCAAGTGCTCCAGATACAAAGTGGAATATTTATTAAATTACACGGAGAGAGGCTTGCTGCCCGGATTGGACGTTAATCTCTCCAACGTGCCCAAAGAAAGCTGCCTGGACGGATGGGAGTTTGACCACAGCGTGTATGAATCTACTATTGTCTCTGAGGTGGGTGGATTTAAGGGATGCTGTGTGGATTTTGTCCTGGTTCACATCCAGAAAGACTTTTGGATTTTGTTGATAAAGATCCCCTGCAAAACACAAGCAAATCCATTATGTTTTGGTATATTTATGATTAAAATCAGTAATTATCATAATTTACTATGTATAGGAATGAATCTATAGCATGGACACTAAAAAGTCTCATTCTGTGAAGGATAAAACGACCAAACATGCAAAATAGAAATTGTTAATGAACATATCTGCACTCAGCTGCACTGTAAAAAAGGAACCTCAGGGGTTATCACATTAACAAAAGAATATCATGTACTGTTAACTAAATAATTGCATGTTTGAGCCAAAAACATGATAGAATCATGTTGCATAAATAAGATATTCCACAACTTCAACGTTTATAAAATTGAATCATGTTGAGCGAACATGATTCATTATAGTCAGACCGATCCTATGCTGAAGACCACGAGTGATATCACGCGATATCACACAAGTTCACGCAAGATTACGGGAAATCACGGGATATCACGCGAGAATACGCGAGACAATCGGTTTTTTCTCGCAAATGGAATAAAATGTATTCAAGGTGAGATAACGTGATTCAATTACGTCAGCTAGATCTTCCGCCAAAAAAAAAGAACGTCGGGGCGTATTACATTAACAAAAAAATATCATGTACCTTTCACACAATAATGTTGGGTTTGAAGCGAAAACGTGATAAAATCATGTTGGATAAACAAGATATTCCACGACTTCACATTTATAAAATTGAATCATGTTGAGCTAACATGATTCATTATATTTAGACTGATATTGTGCTGACGACAACGAGTGAGATCACGGGATATCACGCGAGAACACGCGAGACAATCGGTTTTTTCTCTCAACTGGACTAACGTGATTGAATGACGTTATCTCAACTTGAATAATTCCTCAAGCTCCCAGGCGTCTACCAGAGGCCTGGGAGCTTGAGGGTCCTGCGCAGTATCTTATATATATATATATATATATATATATATATATATATATATATATATATATATATATATATATATATATATATATATATATATATATATATATATATATATATATATATATATATATATATATATATATATATATATATATATGAGCTGACTGGATAGCTCAATACATAAGGCATCAGTATATCACCCGAGAGGGCAGGGTTCGAATCCAGTCTGGGTCCTTAGGCAAGACCCTTCAAGCTACTGCCTACCTCATACCATGAGAGATACTAAGTTGCATAACATGCCGGCTCAGACGTCGCCCGGCCAAACAAGGTCTGCGTCAGGTGTTGGGGAACCAGAGCACCTTGATGACAAATGGGCTACTGGAACAAGACGGAAATGGGCGAGAGATGAAAATGTGGATCTGTTGGAATGCTACTACTCAAGTAACCCTAGTGAGAGAGGTTACATGCAAAGACTGGGGAAGGAATGGTTACTTCGACATCCCCAGTCAACACTAAGCGCTAAACAACTAGTAGCTCAGTGTTCCAACATCCGCAAACGGCAACTGCTATCACAACTTGAGATTGACGAGATACAACACAAATGCTACGGCAAAAGGGAGGAACCTGGATGTCAGGACTGTGGGGACTTAACTACAAGTCCCCACCCAGTGAGGGGATACACGGCCCCAATGAGCGAAACAGAGCTGAACGAGACAGCTGCTGACCTGAGAGAGAGAATCATGACCCGAATGACAACCAGGCCTCCCCGGCGCCAATTACAACGGCTGAGTGAAGTACCATCTGAAAGTCTCATTGAGAATGTGAATGCAGCATTGAGAACGATCCCTACCAACACCATAACAGAAACCAATGAGCTGATCTACAACTCAGCATCAGTGATCCTTGAGATACTTGGCTATAAGAGCAACCATGAGACCCAATACCCACCATGGAAAAGACGGTTAGAGGCTAAAATCAAGGTAACAAGGAGGGAAGTGAGCCAACTGTCAGAGCTCCACAAGGGTGCAATGAAAAGACCAGTACCCAGAAAGTACAGGCAGATGCCCATACCTGAAGCACTCGAGACTGCCAAACAGAGGCTCCAAGCCTTGTCCAGCCGCCTAAAGAGATACACAAGGGAGAATGAATCCAGAAGGATTAACCAGCTCTTCTCCACTCAACCAGCTAAGGTGTACTCTCAATGGCAGGGTAACAATAACAACAGAGCAGACCCACCAAGGCTGGAGACGGAACAATACTGGAAAGGCATATGGGAAAGGGAGGCGTCCCACAACAGCAATGCACAGTGGCTGATCTCTCTACGAGAGGACCACAGCAACCTCCCTGAGCAAGCCCCGGTAACCATCACTGTGACAGATGTCCAAGAAAGAGTCTCAGGTATGAAAAACTGGACAGCACCAGGGCCTGACATGATCCATGCCTACTGGCTAAAGAAACTCACTGCTCTCCATGAGCGAATGGCAGCCCAAATGAACCAGCTGCTACAAAGTGGGACTCACCCTGAATGGTTAACTGAAGGGCGGACAATCCTAATCCAGAAGGATCCATCAAAGGGTCCAGTCCCACCCAACTACCGACCAATAACCTGCCTCTCCACAACCTGGAAGCTCATGTCAGGCATCATAGCGGCCAAGATAAGCAAACACATGGATAAACACATGAGCACGGCACAGAAGGGTATCGGTGTAAATAGCAGAGGAGCCAAACACCAACTCCTCGTAGACCGCACAGTTGCCCGAGACTGCAAAACCCGACACACCAACCTGTGCATGGCTTGGATTGATTACAAGAAAGCCTATGACTCAATGCCGCATACTTGGATCATTGAATGCTTAGAGATGTATAACATCAACAGGACTCTGAGAGCCTTCATTGCAAACTCGATGAGGCTGTGGAAAACCACCCTTGAAGCCAACTGCAAACCACTTGCACAAGTGTCCATCAAATGTGGCATATACCAAGGAGATGCTCTGTCCCGCTACTGTTCTGCATAGGCCTGAACCCCCTCAGCCAAGTTATCAACAAGACTGGCTACGGATACAGACTCAAAAATGGGGCCAATATCAGTCACCTACTCTACATGGATGACATCAAGCTGTACGCCAAGTGTGAGCGAGACATCGACTCACTGATCCACACCACCAGGATCTACAGCACTGACATTGGGATGTCATTCGGACTAGAGAAATGTGGTCGGCTGGTCACAAAGAGGGGGAAGGTCATCCACACAGAAGGGGTCTCACTCCCAGAAGGAACAATAGCAGACATAGAGGACAGTTACAAGTACCTAGGTATACCACAAGCAAATGGCAACCTCGATGAGGTCACAAGGAAAGGAGCCACAGCTAAATACCTCCAACGAATAAGGCAAGTCCTGAGAAGCCAGCTCAATGGCAAGAACAAAATCCGTGCGATAAACAGCTATGCCTTGCCAGTAATCAGATACCCTGCTGGAATAATTAGCTGGCCAAAGGAGGAGATAAAAGCCACAGATATTAAGACCAGAAAGCTACTAACAATGCATGGAGGGTTCCATCCCAAATCCAGCACCCTGAGACTGTACACGAGCCGCAAGGAAGGAGGCAGAGGACTAGTGAGTGTGAGAACCACTGTCCAGGACGAAACAACTAAGATCCATAAATACATCAGAGACAAAGCCTCAACAGACAATGTGCTCAGTGAATGTCTCAGACAACAGGGAACGGAGGTTGAGGTGCCAGAGATACCATCATGGGAGGACAAACCCCTACATGGGATGTACCACCAGCAAATAACCCAAGTGGCTGATATCAGTAAATCCTACCAATGGCTGGAAAAAGCTGGACTCAAGGACAGCACAGAGGCCCTCATCCTGGCAGCCCAGGAACAGGCCCTAAACACCAGAGCAATAGAGGCCCAGATCTACCACACCAGACAAGACCCAAGGTGTAGGTTGTGCAAGGAGGCCCCTGAGACAGTCCAGCACATCACAGCAGGGTGTAAGATACTTGCAGGGAAAGCGTACATGGAGCGACATAACCAAGTGGCAGGCATAGTGTACAGAAACATCTGTGCAGAATATGGACTGGAAACCCCAAGATCAAAGTGGGAAACACCCCAAAGGTGGTGGAGAACGCCAGAGCTAAGATCCTGTGGGACTTCCAGATCCAGACAGACAAAATGGTAATGGCGAACCAACCAGACATTGTCGTGGTGGATAAACATCAGAGGAAAGCCGTTGTGGTAGATGTAGCAATACCAAGTGATTGCAACATCAGGAAAAAGGAGCACGAGAAACTAGAGAAATACCAGGGCCTCAGGGAGGAACTGGAGAGGGCCTGGAAGGTGAAGACCACAGTGGTGCCTGTGGTCATCGGGGCCCTCGGGGCAGTAACCCCCAAACTGGAGCAGTGGCTACAACAGATCCCAGGAACAACATCAGACATCTCAGTCCAGAAATGTGCAGTCCTTGGCACAGCCAAGATACTGCAGGACCCTCAAGCTCCCAGGCCTCTGGTAGAGGACCCGAGCTCAGAGGATAAGAACCACCCGCGGTGGGTGAGAAGGGATTTTTTTATTTTTTATATATATATATATATATATATATATATATATATATATATATATATATATATATATATATATATATATATATATATATATATATATATATATATACGCGAGTTATATATATATATATATATGTGTGTGTGTGTGTGTGTGTTTTTTTTACTTTATTCAATATCAATATTTGTCAAAGTTAATCTAATAAAAAAAAAACACATCTCCCGCTGAAGAGGATCCAGCGACATCAAGAGATTACGGAAAATCACGCGAGATAACTGGCTCGCACCTTGTTGGGTTTTTTCAAGGGCAGAGGGGAGATTCCTGGCGTGCATCTACTTAATTTGAAGAAGGTAAGAGTCAAACTATTTTCATCTAAATCCATATAAAAATATGTAACTTAAAATTTCTCTACCATTTGCACCATTTTCTACTTGTTCCATACTTGTGTCACATTATTTCATGTTTTGTAGATTAAGTCGGTTAGGTTAAGGCAGTTAGCTATATGTGATATCATTGGTAAGTTTACATTTATCGCCGCACCATGTTAGGTACATTCTGTGCGAAAAAAGTCTGCAGAGCCATATGTGGTGTACAAAGCTGCTGCCAGAGACACAAATGGACCCCAGAAATGTCACAGTTTTGCTCCTCCTCAGCTCCCTGGAGGTTTAGTGGATTTTTAACACACTGATCTAACATCAGTCTATTTCTAACTATTTTAATTCTATTTCAGTAATGTTACTATGGAGGTAAATGTAGATACACACACACACTTTGGTACCTTTCTATCATCATCGAGATTCTTAATTAATTATGGTAATAAAAAGTCCTACATTTCAGTCGGTGAAACCTGCAGAAAGCATTGCTTTCTGAGCTTTGTTAAATGTTCCTTAAATACCTGTTAGTTATGGATTTCTAGTATATTTTGTCAGGCTAAAACTCTCAATGGATTATCCATTATTACAGACTTGAGCTTTCTATTTTTTTCTTTAAAATACATATTCCTCTGCTGTAAAGATGTTGGGGTTTTTTGGACTCTTCTTTGTTGTCCCCAAATAATTGTAGCTCAGAAACAATATTGAAGTTCATTGGTTTAATTTTGAAATGTGATGTTTTTGTGTTGATTGTTTGTGCTCATTTTGACCTATGTTACTATTGCTTTCTACCATGTTCAATTCACCATTGTTCTGCACATATGTGCTTGCATGTGTCCAGTGGTTATATTCATGAGGCATTCAAGGGACTTGTACTAAAAGATACAACTCAGTTCAGTATGAATTGCATATTTTAATGGCTGAAAATATATCTGATCTCTTTCAGAACATCACCTGTCTGTAATCCACCTGCGTAAGTACTGGTCAAGGGGCTCATCGGCTATCAAGTTATAGATTTCAGTGGCTAATAGTAAGTTTTGCCAGATCTAAAGTGACTGAATGTAGTGTTAGAGAGCTTATAAAGCTAGGGTTCAGCTAAACATTTATTTGGCCAGTCTGTTTTATTTGCGTGGGGATGTGGAAATGTAAGGAGTGTAGTCTCTCTCTGTCTCGTAGATATGACCTGTTAAAACATTTTACACTTAAACACCGGCATATGCGACGTTATCCATGCCCACACATAGACTGTCCATGTACTTGTAAGACATGGAATGCTTTGCATATTCATTTAAGTAGAAGGATATAGACTGTGTTGACCATTCTGTACTTTTCACATATTTCCTTGGTGATATATTCATGTCTTTATTTAAACATCTAACAGCTTCAGTTAGATGTTTAAATGAGATGTTATACTCAATTTTAGTCATGGCATAATGAAGGGATACTAACAATTTTAAATATCTTTCAAACAGACTGCAAGCCACTGATCACTTTTGTTGTCACTTCCTTTGAATGTAGCTATGTTTTCAAGTGTGTGAACCTATACTGCTGGAGTTTTGAGATTGTTCTCATTGTTTTTTGATCTGCATATTTAGGAAGACACTGCTGAGGTCAGACGAGAGTGCATCCTCAAAGGTCTGTGTGTACCTAAATGAAGATCCAGAGAAGCTGGTGAGAGAGTACATGGTATGTTAAATTCTCTTTGTGTTTACAATAGAACTCCTAAGAGTTGTTAAAATACTTTCACCAACTAAGGTCCATGAGTGACTCAATCAATGTCAGTCTTAATTTATTTATTTAATTACATGTGAATTGTCTCCCCCCCAATACCCTTCCCTAACTCCCTTAGGACGTTGATGAATGAAATGGCCAAAGCCGAGACTGTCCTCGGAATCGTCATTTGAGCAGAGGGTGCCGATGCACATCTGGATGTTGGGATTGTCCTGGAGGAGGTGGAAGTTATGAACAGCTTGGGCAGTGTATCTTCTGCAATAGTGATGCTGCTGGGACTAATCTACGCACTAAACTTGAGCTACCCTCAAGTTTAGTGTGTTCAGCACTCAACTTGCTCAGTAACTCAAGCATACCTTTGAAGTAATACAGAAAATAATAATGAAATTGGATGGAAAGAACTTATCAAAGAAAGCACAAGTTCTCAATATGAAACTCGCTGCTAAGTTGAGTAAAGTTTCATATGGAAAATGAGTGTTTAAAGTCTGCAGTAGAAAAGATTTATATTGTTACAGTTCTCTAAGTTGAGCAACTATACTGACATGTTTTATGTTGTAAAGAATTGGCTGGGAAATGAAACTGTAACCTTTTTGTAGTTGTTTTTTTATTTCAATGTCCAACTCGGCTGTGTTTTGTGCTGTGTAAAAAAACGATGTATAACAATTCTGAAAATACAATTGTGTTGTACCTTTTCTAATTGTTGAGTGTTCTTCCTACACTTTCACCTAGTGCTATCTTAAAATGCTTCATTAACGCTTGAAAAAATGTCTTTGAATTAACGTCATGAAATAATGGAAAGGATTTCCACACGATTAACTAGCTGTCTTTTAGCATGAAGCATATTTGTTGAGCTAACTTGCTTTTAGTGAGTTGGACCTACTGAATCAGGTAGTGTGAAGGTACCACTGTAAAATAAGGTGGATTCAACTAGATTTACATTCATCTTAATGAAGTCACATCAATGATTTGGTCCTAAACATTGCAGATTAGTTGGACTGGCTGTATTGCATTACACTGGGTCACGCTATAGTAACTCAGTTAAAGGAACCTTTAAAAAATATGTTGAGCCAACACATTTCATTTGAATTTGAATAACCTTAATGAATGGAGTTGAGCCAACTCATTTGATTTACAATCATCCATTGCATTACCATAATTCTGGTTAAGCCAACATATTTGGTTTAAATTAGAACAACCTTAATGAATTATGTTTCGCCAACTCATTTTATTTATATAAGAATAACCACAATATATTACGTTGAGCCAACATGTTTGATTTAGAATCACCCATTGAATCACCATTGTAACAAGTTGAGCCAACACATTTGCTTTACATTGGAATAATCTTAATAAATTAGGTTGACCTAACACATTTGCTTTAAATAGGTGTAACACAAGTACATGGTGCTGAAATAAAGCAAAGTAATCAGGTGGAAATCCTTTCCATAATTTTTTTTATGTTCATCCAATGACTTATTTTTTTCAGTGTGTGACAACAAGTTATTCTATTTTTTTATGGAATAAAAAAATAAATTGCCCTCATATCACATCTGGGACCAAAATCTCAACATTTTGGTTCATAAATGGATAAACCAAAAGTACTGAACTTAAAGTTGTCATAGAAATTGGGCAAAGGTTCCTGTTACCTCCATTAACTGATTTGATGATGCTACTGTTTCTCCCTTTTTGTAACTTATTAACCAAACTGAATTGAACTGATTTGTGTTTATTTTTTGACAGTGGAACCTGGTGTGTGATGAAAGCTGGAAGAAGCCGTTCACTTCTTCTATGTTTTTTGGTGGGATTCTCGCTGGCTCCTTTGTTTCAGGACAGCTCTCAGACAGGTTGCAGACTAAATATTTTGTTACAACTGAACTTAACTCGAGGCACTCACTGTTCTGGTTTTAAACATTAAAAACAAATCAGTTTTTTTAAATGCATAATCTAGAAAATATTTAGGTAAACTTCATACAAGTCAAAAATTCTATAAAACCATCACTTGTCATCAGATAAAATCATTTGAAACTTCAACAGATTCCATTCCTACAGCCAGCCATTATTTCTCAGGGTCCAGAGCAAAACGTAGAACAAGGGTTTGGCTTTCACTACAATAATGCAGCAGAATGTAACTAACTGTTCACTAACCTCTCTCTGCTTTGTGTCAATTTTAGATTTGGGAGGAAAATGGTGATGTTTTGTACCATCGGACTACAAGTAGCCACAACACTGATTCAGATTTTTTCTTCAAGCTGGATCATGTTTGTCGTCTTGTATTTTCTTATTGCAGTGGAGCAAATTTCCAATTACCTGGTTGCATTTGTTCTAGGTATGTCAGTCCCTGTGCGCCCAACCAATACCCCAAACAGATTTGAATTTAATGCAACATACTTTTGTGTTCAGGAGCAGAAATTTTAGGTCCACAGGTCCGAACATTTTTCTCCACTGCTGGGGTGTGTCTTTCCTTCGCGGTGGGCTACACACTCCTACCTTTGCTTGCATTCTGTGTGAGAGGCTGGAGGATGCTTCAGGTGGGCTTCATGTTGGCAGGCTGCGCTTGTTTGCCGCTCTTCTGGTACGTGTCATGTTTGCATATTGTTTTTGAGTTGATTTTCTTTCATGGAAGATTTGTTTCAGATTTCTTTCCATGTTCTCTGGCAGTTGCAGCTCAGAAAGAGTCAATGATTGGTCCTTCCAAAATGTGATTTCTGGATTGTCTTCAGGGATTTTCCCAGCATCACTGCTTGCAGCTGCTTGTTTAACAAAAGTTTTTTTCTGTTGTAACCTCTGAATGACAGGCCATTAAAACCCAGGTTGGCAACTTTTTTACAACACTTTTATGGTAGAAACCATACAAGAACTTTTTTGTAGGATTCAGAGGCACAAGACAAATAAACTAGATGTGTCATGTTTAAAAAAAATATAGCAGCTGGTTGGAGGAAAGGTTGGAAAAATAGATTTTTTCATTAATTTGTAAGTGATGAAACACACAAAGAAGTCTAAATGGGAAGCTTCCTGTCTTTAACACACTGTTAATGATTCATCGCATGAACAGTCTTATTCAATAAATGATTTTTATTTCATTTATTGATACAATTAAACATGTTTAAACTATCAGTGATGAGCAAAAGTGCAGCTTAAACATCAAATACTTTTACTGTGATATGGAACCGAGTCATTCATTAAAACTTAATTATTTTAAGTTTATTATTTAAAGGTTAAAATAGCTGCTTAGAGCAGAAACATGACGGTTGTTTTCTGCTAGTGTTTGTATAGAATGCTTCATATTATAAATTTAAATGACTTGTCTGATAACTTATATGACTCATATGCACAGAAATAAAAATGCACAAATAATGTCATGGATTTACATTTACACAGGTACAGAAAATGTGAATCAAAACTTTATCAGGTTTGATTTCCTTTATAATATTTCTTCCTGATTCACAAACTTCTAATTCCTTGCTTTGATTCCAATATGCTGTTTTGATAAAATTGCCTTTAATAAGAGTGTGCATTTATGGCTGTGCAAAACTCAATCATATCACCTACCATAACAGCTTTGCATCATTACTGAAGTCTTCATTTTCTCTCTCCTTCTGTCCACAATGTTGCAAACGAGTCAGGTTCATCCCAGAGTCTCCGCGCTGGTTGCTTTCCCAGGGCAGAGTGGAGGAAGCCGAGGTCATCATCCGGAACGCTGCCAAGATGAACAGGATTGAATCTCCACCCGTCATCTTCAGGCCTCTAAAGGTCAGAGCATCAAACACTCTCCATCATCTGCATTGTGTGAACTCTGCAACCAAATTAGAGTTGAGTCCCTCTGGACATGGCCAAGCTCAACTTTTCTGATAATTTATGAAAAATACACATATAAAATTTGTTAACCATGCCTCCTTTTTCTTTCAGTTCACACATGATACTTTGTGTTTGTCTACTACATAAAATCTAATTCAAACATATGAATGTTTTGGTTGTAAAGTGAGGAAATTGGAAAAAAAAGAATGAAATGTCGGATATAGGTTGCAATATTTCTATATATTCTTTAAAAAGTTTACAGGTGAACCCACTGCAACAACAGTTACGTTTTAAAGCAAACCCACAGTGTATTAGTCACTGTATGTTAAGAAGAAAATCATTTCTGTAACTGAGAAATTCTGCCTTTAGAAAATATTTCCTGCTGGGTCTCAGCATTGTGCTTAAACTTGAAAAAGGAACAATTAACAACAAATAATGAATAATAGTTTCCTCTGTGCAGACACTGGCCCTTCATTTTCCTTCAATAAAAATACTGCAAGACCCTCAGCAGGGTTCCAAGAGTTTGTTTGATAAAAATGAGTTAATGCATATTCTAAGTACTTTTTGTTCTTAAGGAAGATGCAAAAACAAGATGTTGTAGAATTACTTCTCTGGTTCTTCAAGCTGTGAGAAAAACGTTGCCACTTTCGGCAGAATCGTTAAAACTGCAAACTGCAATTACTGCAGGTGTGCCAGAAGTGGAGGTATAAAAGTTGCCAAGCCTGCTAATCAATCATAATATTAACTTTAATTAATGTTGCTACTGCTACTTTCTAAAAATGTGTTGTTCCTGGTTTCTCCCAGAATGAAGGCAGGACCACAGAGACGAGAGTGCTCAACATCTGTGACCTTCTTCGCTCTCCAAACATCAGATGGCTCTCTGTCACGCTGTGGCTGGTCTGGTTAGTCTGACATTTTTTCAGCTGACATGTTGCAGAGCAACTACGCGTGCAGAGCTAGCAGTCTTTGCACCGGTCATCTCAAACTGCATTCCTTAAAGGCAGAAGTCCTGTGACTTTTCTTTGTGTCCGTTGTTCTACACGCCTGAATTAAATGTTTAAATTGCTTCACCAGCGTGGCGTCAGCCTCTGCAGCGCTATGCTGATGAGCTAATAATGAAGACAGGAGCTGAAGCAGAGAAACAGCTAAAAGTTGCAGGACACGGCCCTTGACTGGAGTTTGAGATGATTCCATCAAACAGACAAAAATGAAAACAAAATTCAGTCTTGCATGCACAGAACCAATTTGTCTCTTTGAGTCAAACTCAATCCACCTCAGTCAGTTGAATGGAAACACATTTAATAGTCTTGATGCCTGTGGCGAAGCTAGAAATCTGGTTTTGACTAATAACATGCTGTGACGTGCTCCTTGTTTCATACTTTCATAAACAACAGCAGATTCAGTGGCGTGTTCTTTCATAATATCACCTCGCCATCATGTAGGACAGAAATATAATTCAGTCCTGCAACTTTTAGAGGTTTCGCTGCTTCACTCTAAACAAGTATAGCAAAACTTTTAGAAGTTACAGAACTTTCAATAGACATTAGAAAGCCCCTGAGCTTTTTTGTTTCTGGCTGTTAGAAAATAAATGAACACAGTGGTTTACTTCTGGATGTTCTCCACCTGCTCACTGGAGGTCAACAGCAGTCAATCAATCAATCAATCAAATTTTATTTGTATAGCACATTTCAGCTACAAGGCATTTCAAAGTGCTTTACATCATAAACACAAAACACAAAGGCATGCAACATAGAATAAAATACCAAGTTTTTTTTTTTTTTTCTGCTATAGTTTCCCTTCAGTTACAGGTCAGACAATTTTGGTTGAATCATCTTTTGGTTGCAGTAAACAAAGGTAGTCATGTGATACAACCTAAATGACCAGTACCTTTCATGCTTATGACGATAAATGTGTTCTTAACTATAATTAGTTATCAGAATGCTTTTGATTGGCCATTTCACACATTTCAGGTTGATAAAGAGTTACTTAAAGAGCAGGTTGTCAAAAAGGTTTGCTATCCTGCACAATAACTACAGGAACAGCCAGATCCATTCAGAACCCAACCTCTCTTTAAAAACAATAACTACAATCTGACATTTCTGCAGTGTTCTTGATAATTCTTGCTAAAACACAAATCCTCATCCTCAATCATCATCTTTGATTGTTCCCAACCTTTAATACTTTGCTGTCCTAAACATTTTCATCATTCTTGCCACACAGACAACGACAATTTTTCATTATTGCTTTATTGTGTAGTTAAAAACGTAAATCATTTGTGCTTCCAACAGGAACACCCTCACCATCGCCTACTACGCTCTTTCCCTGAACACGGCGAACCTCCATGGAAATCCGTTCCTCAACTGTTTCCTGTCTGCTGTGATCGAGATCCCAGCCTACGCTTTGTCGTGGGTTATGTTCCGCTGGTGTTCCAGACGACTCAGCCAATTCTCAACACTTTTTGCAGGAGGACTCTTTATATTCATCATACTGTTCATACCACGACGTACGACATCACAGCTTGTACAACTACAGCTTGTACATCTACATCAGGATTTCATATCCAAACCTGATCAGTTTTATATTTCATTTCCTGCAGACCTGGTTGCTCTGTCCATAACGTTTGAGATGTTGGGGAAGTTTGCGGTGTCCACTGCCTTTGCCGTTGTGTATGCCTACACAGCAGAGCTGTACCCCACTGTGCTGAGGAACACGGCCGTCGGCGCCTGCTCCACGGCCTCCAGAATAGGCAGCATTATTGCTCCATACTTCATTTACTTACGCAAGTACAGTCATATTCCCTGAGCCTTTGAGCAAAACAAAATAACTAATCCTTGAGTTAAGATGCCTTGAACTTTGTCTTATTATGGAAGATCAAAACTATGGGGCTTAAGAATATTTTATTATCATATTATTATTATATTTTTAAGCGTACATCTGGATTCAGCCGTCTTTGATCTTAAATCCTTAATAAAATCTAATAATTTACTCAATTGGAAACAGAGTTCACCTGATTATACCTCCGTATATTTCAGCTGTCCGGTGAAGGTGTCACAGTTTTTAAAGTTAAAATTAATGAACAAACAGCATCATAAAGAACAAGGAATAAGCCAGAAGCAGAATTAGATTTTAGAACAGCAGCTCAGTTGGCTCAGAGCTCACTGGCTTCACTGGTTTCACTGGTTCAACCAGCAGCGACTGGAGCGGTTCCAGTTAGACTCCAGTCCTCAAGTCTCTTCACACTAATAAATTTGTGTTTGTTCTTGATGTCTGCAGATTTATTCCGACTGAGAATCAAGGATAACAATATTGAGCAGAATACCTTAAACATGCAGCCAGAACTGCAATAGGATGGAATATATCAAAATTTTAGATATTTTTCAGCTTAAATACACCAAGTCAAATAGTTTGGTCCTAAAAGTTGGATGTCACAGTTGTTTGTCCATGCAAAAAATATGTGTTATCCCAAAAGAATACATTGAGGTTTATGGTTAGAATAACATGTTGTATCAATACTGGTACAATCTGAAGCAAAGATATGGGGCTCACATATGTAGCATTAAATTTAAATAAGATTGTAGGGAAAGTGACAAACTGGAAAAGAAGAGCAGAAAGTGGTGCTTTTGTTCAGAGACACACTGAAATGTCTGGCTCACCTGCCGCTTCACTGAATGGACGACGTCTGTCATCTCAGTCCTCCCACAGATTCATGCAGCAGTCTACTGGGTGGAAAACTAAACCTGTTGTTTTAATAACAACAGATTGAATGAAGTCCAGCTCTGACTGGCTCTGACTGGACTTCATTCAGAAGGCTGTGTTTGTTCCTCTGAATTTTACAAACTTCTCAGGCCCACAGCTGTAACTAATTATGGCTCTTGGACCTGCAGAAGGTGTCAGAGCTGCTTCATCTTAAACATTAAAACTGGAGTTTGGCTTCATCTCTTCATAACGCAGTTACTTTTAATCAGATATGTGACTGTTTCATTCAGACCTCCAGGTTGGCTGGGTTTATAAATGAAATCTGACTCGTTTTGTTCTGTTTTGTTCGTTTCTTTGCAACCGGGCAGAAATTAGATTTTAGAACAGCAGCTCAGTTGGCTCAGAGCTCACTGACTTCAGCAAACCTTCACAGAAACGTGTGTGTGTGTGTGTGTGTGTGTGTGTGTGTGTGTGTGTGTGTGTGTGTGTGTGTGTGTGCGTGTGTGTATGCTGTGTCAGTTCAGCGTATCTGAGCTGACATACTTTATATTTGTGGAGACATGCTGTTTCACATTAGTTTTCAAATATTCACATATTCTCTCCTTTGATGTTACACCACAGGAACCTACTCCGTGTTCCTGCCGTACATCATAGTGGGAAGCCTCACAGCTCTGACTGCACTGCTGAGTCTGCTCCTCCCTGAGAGCTTCGGGATGCCCCTCCCCGACACCATCAGCCAAATGCAAAGATTTCCTGGGTAACAAAAAAACTCCTGCACATCTATGATTCTACATCGATTCAGATGCTAAATCAATTTGAAAATATATTAATAAAATATTTGATTTATTTCATCAAATAATGTATTTTGTGTTTAAAGGTTTGAGCTTTAAATTCCACATGCACAAAAAACATTAGGTGTTGGGAAGTGTAGCAGAAACTAAAAAGAGAACTGCTTCTACTTGCTTAGCAAGTTTTCTCAGTACCTCCAGCATTTAACATGAAACATTCTGAACCAGATACGCCCATCCAAGCCTCAGGGAATGTTTAGAACCTGTAAATCATTCACTGTCCGTGTGGTAAAGTAATGCAAGACAACAACAAAAGCTCAAATGAGTTTGGAAAAATACAGTCACATTTTGACATGCCTTTTAGTTTCTTGTTTTTTTAATTGATGTTTTTTCTGCAGGCCAAAAATAAAAGCACAAAAATATTGATGACAGAAAAGAAAGGGAAAAGATCAGTTCTCTTCATGCATATCCTAAAACTATGCATGAAGAAAGTAAATCATTTATTCAAACTACTAACAACCTGAGTCAGGAAGGAACTTGAAAACTGACAGTGTTAGAGGCTTTGCTACAAAAAATCAGCTTGACCAGAAAGTTAAGCGGAAGGAAGAGATGTGATAGAGCGACATGCATAAGCACCAGGGATGACTTCAGGCTTGAGAGGATTAAGAAGCAAAGCCAAACTCAAAAAAGTTGCATTGCCCACTATTTTATTGCATTTCAAGCTTCATAGACAAGTTTTACAAAATTCTGATTTCACTTCCCAGCAGGTCTTTTGTAACTTATAATTATTAACTGTATTATTATTTAAATATCAGTGTGAGTAATCTGACTAAAGAAATGTGCATTTATTTTATCTTCCAGATGTTGCCAGGAAAGACCTTACATTCTCACCAGGACTAAAGAAGAGGAAAACTCTGCTGAAGAAAAATCTCTGGCCAGACAGCTGTAAATTCTGTGGAGTAAAAACTGCACAGAAAAGATATAAGAAAACAGATTCAGGATATGGAAATCTGCTGTTCTATCCACAAACAATGGATTTACTTAAAGAGTCCCTGATTCTGAAGTTGATCTAGAGTCTAGACTCTTTTGTTGAAGACAAAAGAAGAGCCTTTCTAAATCCCTTTTCCTCTATTTTGTTTTGCACAGAGGGGATCCAACTCTATATGTTGTAGTGATAAACTCAGGGAGAACAAAGGATGATGTTTCCTCAAATTCACAAATTTTAAGACACAGAAACATTTGTTTAACATAAACAGCAATAAAACTATTGAGGAAGGTGGGATGTCCAATGTAATTCAGAAAACAACACTTCTGGAAGTGTTAAAAAAACTGAATTTAAAGGTGAATCAGCAACACTTAGTCACAGAGGACCAGATAGTCACAGAGAACCAGATAGTCACAGAGGACCAGATAGTCACAGAGGACCAGATAGTCACAGAGGACTAGATAGTCACAGAGGACCAGATAGTCACAGAGGACCAGATAGTCACAGAGAACCAGATAGTCACAGAGGACTATCTGGTAACGCAACTGGTTCTGAGGCTTCAGCTTTTTGGATGCAGGGACATTTGTTCCTGGGTGAAAAAAAAGACAAATGAGCAAAAGCAAGCTGAATTCATCAAATGACCCCTCCCCCTCTCCACCCCCCCCCCCCCCCATTCACACACACGTTTCTGTGAAGGTTTGCTGACAAAATTGCAGCCAACATTTAGAGGTGGAGCAGCATGTTAGCATGTTAGCATGTTAATAGTTGTTTCATCACACCTTGTGCTCCAGCGCCATCCACTGGTTGATTGTAATCATTACCTATTATCGACTGAGTGTGATGCAGATTGTTAAGCTACAAATCTCTAAATAAAAAAGCTATTTTGTTATTTCTTTTTCAGTGGTTGTCTTTGTGCCTCTGCTTGCCTGTCAGTTTGGTTTGAGGATTATAAACCCAGTTACGGTGAAAATTTAAGTCTCTGCATGTTACAGAAAGCTGCACTGTATTCTTGTGTATAAGAACTGACCAGAATACATTTGAAACCAGATATTTTCATATTTTTCTTCCTTTTGACATGAAGCAACTCCATTTAAGGCAGTTAGTCTGGTTTGCTTTTAATCAGTTTATAAAAGCTTTTTATACATCCAAAAGATAAATACACAACATGGAAGTCCACAACATTAAGTTTTTAAGAAGTGATGTTCCTCACTCAGTTTTGCATGTTACGCTGAAAGTTGTTTTAATTTGAAATATTGAATTTTAAACCAAAATAATACAAAACACAAAGGCAACATTTTCATTTCTTTAGATTCAAAAGTTGACATTACATTATTATTTATAGATCTGGTTCTAAACTGCATAATTAAATAATTTAGAAACAGATTAAGTTAGATAAAAACCTGACTACATACCTTTGTCTTTCATGCATTTGTTGAAGGGTTTCAGGCAGCGGTTGCTTAAAAGTTTCTGGGAGCAAAAGAGCAACAAAGGCAGTAACAGCTCCCAGAGACCCAATAGTTACATAAGGCAAGTAGGTGAAGTATCCACCTGAAATGAACAAGAGAGAATCAATACTCATAGATTCAGGTATTTCTAAAGGTTCAAGCTCTCGTTTCCTCACCAAGACTTAACAGAAAAGGACTGATGCAACTTCCAGTCCTGGAAACTGTGGTGGTTGTCCCTGTTGCGGTGTTCCTCAGGGATGTTGGGTAAAGCTCTGTGGTGTAGGCGAACATCAGGGAGGCCCCAGTGGTGAAACTGTACTTACCCACCATCTCCAGAGCAAGAGAAACACTAAGTACATCTAACACAGGTAAATGAGGTTCAGTTTGTGGAATGAAACACATTTTAGGCATGAATGTTTCTTACTTCAAAATATGAAACTACTAGTTCTAACTTTAACAAAACATTTCTTAAACAGTGCTTTAAACAACCAAAACTTTTTGCTTACCTTCTGGCACCAGTAGTGATATGAACAGCGGCAGAGATCCAAGGATCAATGTCCCAGAGACAGAAAGTCGCCGGGGAAGGAATCTGAGTGCGATCCAGCTGGATACGTATGCAGGGATCTCCACCACTGCAGCGATGAAGCAGCTCATGTAGGGGTCGGCGTGGAGCTGAGCCGTGTTAAACGACAGGCTGTAGTAGCCAGTCGTCATGACGAAGCTGTGAAAAAGCAAAGCTTGATTTATTTTTATATTACATTCATGCAGCAAATCAGTCCAAAGTGCTTTACATCATAAAACATTATATAGTGATGGATTAGGAAATAATCAATAATTTATTGATCAATGTTCCATTTATTGATAATCAAAGACAACTCTAAACAGAAGGGATTTTAGCCTTGATTTAAATCCTATAAAATGACACTATGTGTCTGGAAAGAACATAATACCCCTTTAAATATTTTTACATGGAAAATTTACCTAATAGTTCAATTATTAATTATTATTATTATTATTATTCAAACATAGTGACAAGGCCAAGTAGCATCAGCATTGATTCCATATTGATTCCATATTTAGGATCATTTATTTATTATTTTCCATAACATAAAGGTGTCTACCATATTTTCCACTGGATTATGAGGCGCACTGTCCATGAATTGCCTCATTTATAAAGAGCACCAGTCCATAAAGCGCATTGAGCCAAACAAAAAGATAACTCAGTCAGTCAAAGTACAGTATTGCTCCCCTCCTGACTCCTGTAGACATAATGTAATGTAACTAAAACATTTCGACCGAGCGCAGTGTAACACAAAATCACTTTAAGGCCAGTGAGCTCAACCAGAATTATTCCATGATAGTTCACGAGAGGGCGCTGTTTTGCCCCAGAATAATATAAAGGCGCACTGTCGTTTCTTTTGACCAAATTAAAGGCTTTAAAGCGCGCCTTATAGTCCGAGAGTTATGGTACTCACTGCACCAAGAAGATGATGAGAGTTGTGATTCTGATGCTTCTGTTCCTGAAAAGGTTCAACACGCCGCTTGGTTTCTTGTCAGATTTAGTCTTGTTAATCTGCGGAGACAGAAAACATGATTATGGAAGAGATTTTAAATTCAGCTTCTGTAACATTCTCACCTTGTGATGATGTTTACACGTCTTGGCAATATTTCATCCTGAATGTTCGATTTCTGAAAGCTCTACAATTGTTGAAAATCAGAAATTGTTCATTTTAGGCTCTCGGGGCAAAATTTAGAATAAATTATGTTTTGTGTTTCAGGTTTGACTGTTGAAAGAAAGGATTTCTGATTTGAACCACATAGGCTGTTTGAAGGACAACTTACGCTGTCAGTTTCAAAGATGACCGTTGGAGCTTGAACTTTGTTCCATCGAGCAGCTTTTCTGATTACAGCCTCGGCTTCCTTCACTCTGCCTCGAGAGAGAAGCCATCGAGGAGACTCTGGGAGAAGCCTGCTCAAAAGCAAGCAATCCACAAACAGGATTAGACAGGATCATTTCATTAAAATGCAACATGGTCTCCAAGATTCTCAAGTAACTTGTTATAAATGCAATTTCAAGGAGTTTTCTAGTAACCTACCACCAGAGGGGGATGTAAGCCAGACAAGGGAGAGAGAGAGCCATGAGGAGAGATTTCCAGTCCCTCAAAAAGTAAGCCACAACAGGAAGCAGTATGTATCCAACAGCAAAACCTAAGCATGTGCCCATTGATGAATAAAGGATACGTATGTTACCAGTCAAAACCTCAGCACCTGCAATCCAAAAACAAGAAAACTATTTGGATCATGATAGAATATACAGAGAATTATGTGTCAAAATCATATTCTGTACCAAGAATTAAAGCTGCAACAAAGTTGGATATTTGTCCCAGTCCATTGAAGAAGAGTAGAATGACAAACATGGGCCATGAGGTGGAAAAGACTTGAGCAAAGGTAAATATTGTTTGTGCAGCCATCGTTGCAAATAGAATAGGTTTCCGTCCATACCTAGAGGATGAAGGAAAGAAATATTTTATATTAGGTCCTAATGCAAGACAAAATTAAAGCAGAATAAACACTTTTCAAATAATTTTTTCAGCATTAAACATCTTAAACTAACACAGTAGGTAATTTCTACATCTGTTAGAACACTAAACGTCTGTGATAATTGGGTTTACTGAACTGATGTCTCAGCAGACAACATCTGAACATGAAAGTTGTGAAAAAACAAGAATAAAATGCGTTTGAGTGTCTTTATGTGTTACATTTTTAGATTTTATATCGTTATTCTAGTAAAGTAAATTGTGCAGATTTTTTTTTACTTAAGATTAGTGCCACTTCAGTTTTATTACTCAAATAAAAGTAAGAAATACAGTACAGCAAAACTATTTTTGAAAGTAAAGTTGTTTGACCAAAGTCTGAATATAACTGCATAAAAGTACTAAGTTACCACACATCTCTGCATTTAGTCTCATATCTACCAACTTTCATTTCTTTCCTGTTCCTTCTGAAAAAAATGCAAAAAATGCCACTATTTCACATTTTCCTTTTTGCTAATTTTTATGTACAAATAGCATTTAGCATTTCAGACAAACCATAAAATGCAGGTCCCATCTGACCAGAATCTCTCCTGCTTTGAATTACATTGTGTTTTTGGTCTTTGTGATTTTTTATGTCCCATTGACCTCCAACAAAGTTGTATCATACATGACATTTTACAGAGACGGACTGTATCTACTGTTTAGGTACAGAGAGGTTTTTACATTGGATATTTTAGAAGTTAAATTGATACAGATGTATGCCACACTTTTTTTTTAGTAAATATATTTTTTACTGTTGTGAAATATGTATGCACAATTTATGTATTAGTCTAACCACATATAATCCCAAGAAAACAAACTGATGTGTTTATGGGTTTCATCTGACAAAATGTGAAAAGGAAGAATTGATATTTTTGATAGTTACTGTAATTAAACCCACTGAACTGTTTTAGCCTCAGAAGCCTCTTAAAACATATTTCAAAATAATTACTAAACTGAATATGCAAATCTGCTTTTAAGTTAAAAAAAAAAGTTGCTCTACCTGTCTGACAGCTGTCCCGAGAAGAAGGATCCAACAAGAACCCCAATAAAGAAAACTGAAGTGGTAAATGGCTGCGCCCATTGGTCACTGCACACCAAGTCAAACTGAAACATGCAATTTATTTAAATCCCAACATTGAACAAATGACATAAACTCTGCTCAGTAAAGCTTTGCGCATTTCTTCCCATTTCTTTGGCTCTATTGGAAGTGGTGATAGTTGCCCATGATGTTCACGTTTGTTTTCCCTGCTGCTCATTTCCTAACGAGGTTCTGGTGAAGCATTCAATTCACTCAGATTTACAAACAATGTTTCACAAGAAGACTGATGTAGTTTATGTCTTAAAATTTATTTTAGAAATCCTAAGAAATTATGATCATTATGCTATGAAACATTCTAACTAAAAAAGAGTGAACTTTGTAAAACCATCGGGTAAAGTGTGTCCCTAACCCTCTTTCCCAGTAGTCATCATAAATAGGTGAAAGAGAGATACAAACACAACCAGGAATTAACAAGAAGAAAATGAAGGACAGATGATATAAACCTTGGACCTGCAAATAAAAGCATTTGGTAAATAGCTAAGAAGTTGTTGCAGTTAATGTTTTACATAATGTGCTCCAAACTGTAGGTGATAAAGTCAGAACCTGTCTAAATCAGAATCTTATCATTTTGAAACTGTCACCTTAAGTGATATGATGCTCAAATGTTTTTTTTTCTTTCTTTATTTTCAGTGGTGGATCATAATCTACAATCATGTCCTGGTGAAAACATTTACATCCATATTTTGCTCTTATGAAGTTGCTACATTTGTTTTATTAGAAAGAGAGAGAGAGAAAGAGAGAGAGAGAGAGAGAGAGAGGTTATCTCCTGAACCTGCTGTACAAATAGCAGGTTGCTAAGGACAATTTTAAATATTTTCCTTCATATTTCAGAAAATATCTAATTGGTCAACACCAGTTAAACTGTGATTATGAAAAAGAACTTAGTTATGTAGTTTTCATTTGAATTATCAAGAAGGAAATTAAACATTTGACGGTCAAACAATTTTGACACTCAAAAATGTTTGACATGAAGTCAGTCATTTCCAGTCATGCACAATTCACACACTGATGAAGCTACTGGACTGTAACCAGTAGCTTCAGCCCAGTAGCTGATTGGACTGAAGGAATGGAACAGAATAACGTTGGAGATTTATTAAGTTTTCTTACATTTAAGATTTCTACAAGCAGCATTTGCCTGTCGCTGTCTATTCAGTGAGAGGCAGATCATTTCAGCAATCCAGTAAGGAACTCAGTATTCCTTCCTGCTTTGTCAGGACTTATGAAATATTTCTGGTGCTTGCTTTTCTATTTATGCGGTTTCTGCTTAAAGGAAGACAAGGCACATCTCATGAACAATATCTTGTTTAGTTTGGAAGTAGATTTTGAGGTTGTGTATTGCTATCTTTCCATAAATACTGAGATTAAAGACTATGCTTGTGATAACAGACTGCTGGTCTCAAAGGGAGAGAATTGAAAGGGCGGGTACTTAACCATGTTTCATGTTACAGTTAACTTCATAACTTCATAACTTCATAAGAGCACACATGTTACAACATGAGAAGCAAGACAGAAAGGATGCCAAGATAAGCTCTGTCTGGCGTTCATCAGGAAACAAGTAGGCAAAACAAAAACCAGAAAAGAAATTACATTCACCTCTGTCACTACAGTGGACAGGTAAGTGTCTGTGCTGTAGCTCCAGCCGTCCACACATCGCTCCTCCTCCAGGTCGGTGAGGTTGATGTCTCTCCCAGGAATCAATCCTCGATCAGAGAGATTCTGGACCACATCCAGCCTGTATCTGCTGCATCTGCTTAGTTCCTGCTTTCCATTCAGCACCTTAGAAACACAGAGGTAAAATGTGAAGGAAATTTTATTGATACAGCACATTTTCAGCAACAAGGCATGACATCTCGGGGCCATGAAATCACGTTGCTCAGCCTCCTGACAGAAGTCCAATAGGATGTTGTTATCAAGGAATGTCCTTGGGAGTGCTCAGCTCCACAGCTGCATCGATAACAGGCGGTGGAAAGGAGTGTTATGTTTACATATCTTCAAGAAGATTAGAAATATGCAGCCCTTCCAAGGCAAAACAGGGTAAGCTAATTCAGATACAGAATGTCTTAGATTATAAATTTCAGTCTCCGATACATCTCAGTTCCAAATTATCCAAATTAGTTTGGTCGTTCCACTGATCCAAAACTAGCAACTTCTCCAAGATCCATTCCATTCTGTCAGTGAGTTTTAGATTCCTCAACTGGGCTGCGAGTCTTCGTAAGACTCGCATCCCACTCTGTCCACACCAACAGTCCGAGTGTTTGCGAATTCAGCCAAGTCTGTCACAAATTAGTCAATAATCCAGGTATCTGCAAGCTCCGAACAGCAAATCCTGTTATCATGAATAAATCCAGGGTGATTTCTGCCGGGTGTGTCCCTGCAGGTCAAGAGGACTCTCCCATGTCCAGACTCTTTGTCTAGAAAATGTTATCAATTGCATTGAAAAGACTGGTTGACCTTATCCACAATTTGTAGATTTGGAAGATGTGCAAACAAAGGCTCCAAAAATAGAGAAAAAGACAAAAACAGAGCAAGCAGGACAGGCAGGACAGGCAGGAGCAGAGGACAAAAGCGTCTGGCTTCACTGAGAGCAAGAGAGGAAATGAGAGCAACATATGTCAGACATCCAGAGCTGTCAGATTAAATTACCTCTAAAAACTTAAACAGAACTTTGAAATAACCTTAAAAACACAGAAGAATTTTTCCACACTGAGGCCTTTGGGAGTTGGAAATCCTGAGGTATATTTCTGAATGCCGAGTTCTGGAGCGTTTCGGATGTCGTCCTGAACGTTTTGTGACTTTAATGAGTTGATAATGAACTCTGAGTCATTATCAATCGTTTAAGAATATTTCTCCACTTTACCACTTCACTGTTAATGTTTTACATATGTTGTAAAATATTAACATTAACGTAAAAATTGGCTCTCTTTGTGGCTTGCTATAGTTATGAAGCCTTAACATGTCATTTCAACCTTCAGATACTAACAGTGTGTCTAAAAGAATTTCTTAAAAAACTGAATAATTGTCATGGAGTGATTGTTGGAGGATCCAAAATGCAAACAGAAGAAAAAACTCGCAAACAAAACCACAGGGAACCAGAGACGAAACATAAAAAAAGACATAAAACAGAAAAAAGACAGCAGGAGGTTACGAGCAACCGGCAAGGATGAGCTCAGAATGAGAAGCTTAAAGAATAAAAACAAGATACCAAACTAAATAAAAATAATAACAAAACTGAGGCAAATCAGATCTCAAAACAACCTGAAAACCCAGAATCTTCACAATAATTTGTTAAGATAATTTAGTCTACTTCATATCACCAAACAGATTGTAGGAATAATCTGGGCTACGTTCGGTCTGGTGAGGTTAAACAAAGGAAATTTATATTCCAGGTGAAGTTGGTTAAATCCCGTTTCTCCCTTTTTCAATAAAATCATTATCTGAAAACTGCTCCTTGTACCTATTTTCTTTCATATGACTCATCTGAAACATTTATGCTTTAAAACGACACAAAGACAATAAACTTGTAAAAAAACAAGCATTTTTTTGTTCTAGCAAAATGTACAGCTAATTAGTACACTAAAATGAAATATTCCAGGAACCTGAATGAGGTGACTTACTGTTTTTGGTATAATGCTTCTCCTCCACTCCCCTGAGAGATTGAGGTCCGGTACGAAGCAGTGGTGATCTGGTACATCAGTCAGAAAAACAAGATTGAAAGCACCGAATCCATTGGGGATAATACTCGCACAGAGCAAAAAAAAGACGACTTTTTGAAAACAGCCCCACTCATCCAAAAAAGCAACAATTTCCTCATAGTCTTTCATTCTTAACTGATTCATTTCCTGATCCGACTGCCAGTCTGTTCTCAGCACAAAGGTTAAATGCTACATAGTCCAGCAGGCAACGGCTAAAAATTGTGCAAATCTGATTAGTGTGGATGTTCAACTGAACATGCCAGCTCTTGTAAAATCATGCATAACTAAATATGCCAGTTCAAACAAGGATCCAGTGTAAGGAGCTGTAAGCCTTTGTAGGGAAGGATTTGACCTTTTGTCCTGATGAAAACGAGAAAGACAATCCTGATCTGGCAACATGTGATGCAGACGTGTGTAGTGGGCAGTTCCTAAAAAATGGAAAACCTGCGGTTGAGATTGGTGGAAAACATCCAGGTAAGAGTCATGAGGAGCAACAGGAAGCAGACAGGAGGAGAAGAGAATGGGGGGATCTATTACCAGAACCGGAAACCAAAATTCTAGCTAAAATAAAAAAGTTGCAGTGAAACCCGTCTGAAAAGTCAACTGTCTCATGTTTGACTTTTGACAAAACTTTCTGAAAGTTCCATTATCACACGGATAGAGGTCTCTAACAGAGGAAACAACTTTATGATGACTGCAAAGTATTCACATCGTTGCAACTTTTCACATTTTGTTACATCCTTGATATCGATGTTAACACATTATAGAATTATAACATTTATTATTGGCAAGAGCTTATTAAGGTTCTCGTTATTCCAACTTATTCTAATTCTGAATAATTGTGACCAAATGTTTTAGACAAAACCTTTCATGTGTCAGTTTCCAGATTGGGGTTTTGACACCAGTCAGTTTTACACAACTACACCTGTAATAATTCCCTTAACTTCACTGCTCACTTTTTGCTCTGATATGCAACTAGATATTTAATTACAAATCATATCAAGTCCGTAAAAATGACCACATTCAATTTGCTAAATAATTTCAAGAATAAGTAGGAAAAATTACATGCATTGGCACATAAGCACGAGTATCTCAGCAAAGGCTGCAATGCTTCCAGTTTTTGATACGGGTTGCAGAAAGTGTCACGCTCACTGTGTGCTGCACGTCGCTCAGTGGAATGCTGCTGAGCGAGATGTAGTGTTCTGGCACTACATCTGTAAAAAAGAGACAAACATTCCTCTGAGTCATTAAAATGACATAAACAAGCTGATACTTAAAAAAAAAAACGTTCATTTTTAATTTATTGGAGGATAATTGATTGAGAAGTGCTTCATAACGTTCTGTAACATCCTGATATGTCTTATTACTCAAACTTGATTGGTTGGTTGGTTGATTGATTGATTAGTTATTACTCATCACAACAATACACACATAATGACAGCAAAACAAGAACTTTGGCAGGGCTTTGGAGAGACCTTTGGAAGGGATGAGGGTTAAATTTTTAAAGATTGCACAATATCTTAAAACGCTGTACAGCAACAAAACAACAACCCATATTAATCAATAATCTAGTATTTAATTGGGTCATGCTATGTCATTGTCACCATGTGGGAGCAATGCAGAACAAATTTAGTCTGTTTTCCCTGATAGGTGTGATGTTGCCGTTTCTGCTGCTGACAGTGCTGAAAGGGTTAAATTGTAACACAGACTATTGATCCAAAACTTTAGCAGTCATTTATTGACAATGACTATACTATCAAGTTTCATCTAATGTGTTCAGCAGATTAGATAAAATAATAATAAAAAAAAGAAACGGCACATTTAGGATTTAATGAGGAAGTTTTACTCATTAATTAAACTATCAAGATGAGTCATAATGGCTACAATATGGTTCCATCTGTAATCTTTGTGTTTGAGCCGAATTTGTTCTCAAATACATCACAGCATATTATAGCCAATAATCACTGATTGATTTTAAACTTTTTAAACAAATTGGACATTGAGAGCATGAACCTCTTTTTTTCCGGCAACATTGAATGCAACCCAATGTAACCTGGTACCTTGTCAGTAGCAGGAAGCATGAGAGAAGCTGCCAGGTCAGAGGGCAAGGCGGCACCATCGATGTACATCGATGGACATGTATTATCGGATTGGACTTGACGTGACTTATTGTGCCATTGACTCGGAAATATCGGTGATCGGAAACATGCCACATTCAGGCAAAGAATCAGAACAAAGTATGCAGTTGTTTTACTGTCAGCCACACATAACAAGGTCCAATGGGTTTTCCTACCAAGTGAGGAAAAAGTTTGATTGATAGAAAATATAGAGAAAATGAGCAGTGAGTGAGTTATGCCAGTCTAACTGCTGCTGGCCTGCTTTGGTTCCGACCCACACACCGCGTCATGTTTAAACAGCTTGAACTGAAGGCTCTGATTTTCTCCTAAGTTTTTGTGTGTGAAAAGTTAGTTTTTTGGAGGTGATTCGTCCGGATGGACTTGAACGTCTCTCTGCTCTGTCTGACGGTCACCGTGGTAACGGCTGAGCGCGCAGGGTAAGCGGACACACAGATCAATCAGATCAGATCAATCAGATCAATCAGATCAGAGCAGGAGTGGTTTTGTCTGGTTTTACTCTTCACCTGTTTATCAGCGTTAATGCGGCTTCACTGTGGCGCAATGCAGCCGCTGCGATTTCTAAACAAGCGACAAAAACTCAACCAAGTTCCGCTTTGGTTCGTGACGATGTTTGTAACAGTAAAATAGCCCGTTTCCACGACAACAGTGTCGGCAAATGGTTTGGTTGTGTTTTTCTGTACATTTACATGAAAGTAGAGAATATTTTCTGTGAGTTTGAGGTCAGGTTCTGGTTCCACAGCGCGATTATGTCAAATAAAATGATTGGCCCGAATAAAGCCCAGTTTACACGACAAAGATCCAACGAACATGGAGTTTTATTTAGTTTCTGTTAACACATTCTAATTACAATCGTTGTTCACGCAGTAACAATACGCTTTGAGAAGGTGTAATGCTCCCGCCACACCACTAGTCGGTGCTAGGTTCTTTGATGCTAATTGCGCATGAATTAAAAAAAAAAACACAACTCAACTTTCTTTTTCTTTTGAGATAAAATAAGTATTTACAAACTGCTCTGTTCTTCTGGAAGTTAGAGAATAGATCCGTTTTGTTTAAAGTTAATTTACACAAAATGCCACTGACACTGTGAACCGTGTCTGTGTGCTCTGTGATTTTACAGTTCTTGAAGGTTCAGAGCATGGAGACTCAATCTCAACTACCCCAAGTGAAAAAAACGGCACTTACTATCCTGAAAATCCTCCTCCTCTTTCTGCTGCTCTATGTCTTTATTTGCTCACTTGACATTTTGAGCTCTGCCTTTCAACTTGTAGGAGGTAAGATAAACACATGGTTTCATTTACTAAAGGCACAGAAAATGAATTGATTTTTAAAACTGGGATGTTTTCTTCTGTTTTCCATTGATTCTGCTTACAGGGAGGGCAGCTGGGAAAATCTTCCATAAAAATGTTGTTCTGTCTAACCCAGTGGCTGGCGTGATGGTGGGGATTCTGGTGACAGTCTTAGTCCAGAGCTCTTCTACATCAACCTCCATCACAGTCAGCCTCGTGTCCTCTGGTTGTAAGTAAGAATAACTATCTACAGAAACAGCAACACTTAGCAAAACTCTGAAAATAGTCTCCACTTGTCAGCATTAGTGTTTATGCCAGGTTACACCATTCTTTCTGGTCTAATTGTCTCCTCAGTGCTGAATGTACAGTCAGCCATTCCCATCATCATGGGAGCCAACGTTGGAACATCAGTCACCAACACCATTGTTGCTTTAATGCAGGCTGGAGACAAGGACGTGTTTGAAAGGTACTGTGTGTTTTCAATAGCTTAAAAAAATTACCCATAATGCACAGCGCAGGACAAACAAGTTTTCAAACAGTCGTTTGAAAACTTGAAAAGTGAAGATAGAAAAACATTCAAACTGACTGCTCAACTAGAACCACACTGGAGTCTATAGAAATGTAATGTGGTTGGAGGAATGTCTGCCACAGCTGCCAACACAAAAACAAACTTCTTTTATTACAGCCACAGTTCATTAGCAAAGGAAGTAAACATGAGGAAAATAACATCAAGAATCACCAGCAGCTTTACTTTCCTGATAGCTGATAACATACCAACCAACTGCAATGATATTAAATAATGTCACACTAAGTCATCCTGATGGTTTGAAAATGAAAGTGAACTTTAACATTTTCCTTGCTGTCTGATTCATTTGGATTATAATTTCACCACTTGGTGGCGCTAATAGAGCATACAAATATAATTTTTACATGGTCAGTTTATCTTATGTATATATACATATATAATTAAATTAGCTTTAGCCACGGTATTGTTTTGAAGCAATTAAAATTTTATAAATGTATGTTTTTTAGGTCCATAAAAGAATGATCATCTTGAATCAGTTCTATTTTCATGCTTTGATAACCCAGTTAATCTCTTCCAGGTGTGTGATAACGAACCCTAGACGATACAAATTTATCTACTCTCATTGTTTCTGATCTGCACAGTTTAAATAGGACAAAAAGCTCGATAGATGGAAAAAACATTTTGTTGCCCTCCTGTTGCAGCTGTTTCTGCATATATTCTTTTTTCTGGATGTCGTCCACATTAGTGGACAGAAAATTAGCTGATGTCCCACTGAAATCCCTCAGGAGCTGCATTATGAACCCCCATTCCAGCCCTCCAGGCCCAGTATCCAGGCCCAGTGTCCAGGCCCAGTGTCCAGGCCCAGTGTCCAGGCCCAGTATCCAGGCCCAGTGTCCAGGCCCAGTGTCCTGGCCCAGTATCCAGGCCCAGTGTCCTGGCCCAGTGTCCAGGCCCAGTGTCCAGGCCCAGTATCCAGGCCCAGTATCCAGGCCCAGTATCCAGGCCCAGTATCCAGGCCCAGTGTCCTGGCCCAGTATCCAGGCCCAGTATCCAGGCCCAGTGTCCAGGCCCAGTATCCAGGCCCAGTGTCCTGGCCCAGTGTCCAGGCCCAGTGTCCTGGCCCAGTATCCAGGCCCAGTGTCCAGGCCCAGTCCCAGGCCCAGTGTCCAGGCCCAGTATCCAGGCCCAGTGTCCAGGCCCAGTATCCAGGCCCAGTGTCCTGGCCCAGTGTCCTGGCCCAGTATCCAGGCCCAGTGTCCTGGCCCAGTGTCCTGGCCCAGTATCCAGGCCCAGTGTCCTGGCCCAGTATCCAGGCCCAGTGTCCAGGCCCAGTGTCCAGGCCCAGTGTCCTGGCCCAGTATCCAGGCCCAGTATCCTGGCCCAGTATCCAGGCCCAATGTCCTGGCCCAGTATCCTGGCCCAGTATCCAGGCCCAATGTCCTGGCCCAGTATCCAGGCCCAGTGTCCTGGCCCAGTGTCCAGGCCCAGTATCCAGGCCCAGTGTCCTGCATGTTTTATATTATGTTTTTTGATTTACCTGTCAAATGTTGACATTATGCTTATTTGCAGGGCATTTGCTGGCGCAACAGTTCATGACTGCTTTAACTGTTTATCGGTTCTGCTGCTTCTCCCTGTGGAAGTCGTTTGTGGAGTGTTAAGACATCTGTCACAGGCTGTAGTCGACTCCCTTCCTCTGAAAAGCGGAGAAAACGCACCTGAACTGCTGACAGTTCTCACTAAGCCACTGACTAAATTGATAATCCAGGTAACGTGAAAGTCACATTCCTTTCAGCCACGTTTAATAACGTGACTCACTCTCTCTTTTATTTCTACATAATCCTGCTGCTCTAAAACTTCAAACATGTCTTGGCAAAATAAAGTCTGAGCATTCTCACAAAGTGAAAAGAGTGTCCTTTGAAAGCATCACTCATTTAGAGATTTAGCATTTTCCCAGAGAGAAATGCTTACCTTTTACACTGATTCTGCAGTCATCCTGCAGCTGTGGGACTTTGGGAGCAGCATTAAGGCTTTGTGCTGCAGTAGATGCTTGTCCTGACAATAGAGACATGATATTCATCTGAAGCTCCAGACTGAACAGAAAGAAACGAGTCGGAGTGGAAACTAATTTCTTCCAATGTTTCTTTTTTCTCTGACACACTTAGTTTAGTTTGAATGCTGGTTTAAGCCAAAGAAAAATAAAATAAAATTTTGTTCAGACAAAACCATTATCCACTTATTTAGAACTCGATAAAAATGATTTTGTGCGATACTTCAGATGAACAGAGCAAAACGTGATTTAGTTTAGCTCATCAGCGTAATTATGAACTTAACTAGGACGTCTGGTATTTACTCATAGGGGTTTACATTACACTTTGATTACATGCAAAAATCTTTTCTTTAATTATTCCCAACCCTGACAGTCCAGATGAAGCTAAAACACAATGTTGTTTCATCTGATTTAGTTGGATAAATCAGTTCTCGGTGCTCTGGCCACAGAGGACCAAATTCACATGAACAAGAGTCTGGTGAAGCATTGGTGTCACTCTGCTGTTATCAAGGTCTGTCTTGTTTGGTAAAATCTTTCAAAAATAAATTACTTTGTCCATAAATATGTAAAAGCTTATGATAATATTGTTTTAATACTGTGTGAGAACTGTACGTTGTATTTTTTGTCCCATTATTTCTTGCCTAACTCTGTTGTTGTTAACAGGAGAACAAAACATTGTTGGGAGCACAGATCCTTTCAAAGAAAACATATAAATGTACGTCTGCACAAATATGAGTTTCAGTGTTTTTCATAACAATGCACTACAAAAGAGACAATGGGAGGAGCTTTTATTTTACTTTCACAAAGATTTATTAGAAAATATCTCTTGTAACTGTGAACAGCTTTAAATCCCACGTCTCCGTCTCTGTCAGGTAAGCATCTGTTCGCCGGCTCCTCTCTGTCAGACCTGGCCATCGGTCTCATCCTGCTGATCTGCTCCTTGTTAGTCCTCTGTGGCAGCCTCATACTGCTGGTCAGACTGTTGAACTCCCTGCTAAAGGGACACGTGGCAATTTTTATTAACAAAATCGTTAACACAGGTAAACCACTGAGTCATTACACACAAAACTTATTAAAATAGTTTTGTGAAAAGTATGAGAGCTCAACCAAACATGTTATGACACAGACCAGTCAGGATTTCTGATTTCTTTCTCTCATTCTGTGCTGTCTTGCTTTTCAGATTTCCCGCCTCCTTTCACCTGGGTCACAGGTTATCTGACTCTGTTAGCTGGAGCTGGCATAACATTTTTGATCCAGAGTAGTTCTGTCTTCACATCTGCCATTACACCACTCATAGGTAAAAACAAAAATAGAAATCTTTTATTGCAGTCTGATTGAATATATTGAATAAATATAGAATCATTCTTCCATTGAGACAAACTGACAGCAGCTTTGTGGAATGCTGTGAAACCAACCCAAAATCAGTTGGTTGAAAAGTTTATGAAATGTGGTGTTACATATTGCATTGTGGGTTGACAGGGGTTGGTGTGATTAGTATCGAAAGGGCTTACCCTTTGACCCTGGGGTCCAACCTTGGAACCACGGGTACTGCTCTGCTTGCAGCCATGGCTAGTCGTGCAGATAAGCTAGCTGCTACCACACAGGTAAAAAAACATTCTGATTTTGTTCAGCCAGGTTTCATCTTTCAGAAATTATTTTCATGTTTTAGAACATGAGTGTAGCTTTTCTGTTTTGGAAAGTTTTTGTTTTATTTTATCCATTCTTAGTATTATTATGACACTGTACACATATTTTATGCACAGTTTAAGCTAGTTGGTTAGTCAAATATCGTTGTGCTGATTTTGAAGAATCCCAACTATGAATAATAGTTGAAAATTAATAAGTATAGACTCAGCATTGCACAGTTGAATCTTATGTATTGGAACAAAGTCAATCTGAATCATCATTAAAATTCTATTCTATTCTAATCTATTCTATTCTTTGTTTTAGGTTGCCATATGCCACTTATTCTTCAACCTCTTTGGTATCCTCCTTTTGTATCCGATACCAGCCACTCGTTTACCAATACGACTGGCCAATGCACTGGGAAAGTGCACTGCAAGGTATGCTTATGAATATTATATATTTAATTAAAAACAAACCAAAAATCAACACATGGTTTTATTAGAAATAATTGAAAAAAAATTGCTAAAACTGAAACGTTTCCAGATACCGCTGGTTTCCGGTCCTCTACCTCATCGTGTTATTCCTGCTGTTGCCTTTGGTGGTGTTTGCTCTCTCCTTGGCTGGCTGGAAGGTGTTGACTGGAATTGGTGTACCAGTCATAATATTGATTATATCTGTGTTAATGATAAACCTCCTCCAAGCACGGAAGCCTCAGTTTTTGCCACCAATACTGCAAAACTGGAACTTTCTTCCTATTTGGCTCACTTCACTGCAGCCAATGGATGACCTCATAACCAGGGTGACTCTTTGGTGTGGACAAACCAGAGGTAGATATCCCCTTCATAATATCGGACATTGTTACATTTTAGTGCATTTTTCTATTTGCTGACGATAATATGGTGTTCTAGGGTGTCTAGGGAGAAATTATGAGCCAGATGCAACTGCAAGAGGAGAATCGAAGGAGAACATGGAATCCCAAGAGCCTGATGAAAGCCAAATAAATCAAACAAAACAATATAATCATCGTAGTTGGGTATCAAAACACACGAGGAAAGCAGAACAAAGCAGAACAAAGAAATCAACAAGGAGTTTGACTTCAGAAAACAACATGCCAAACTAAGAGAAACACACAGACTTCAAATCACTCACTTATTTTGCTTTTTTATGAACACCAGTTCTAGAACTACAGTGCATGAAGTTTATCATTTATATGGTTGGTGAAGAAGAGTTTACGTACTCAGGAAACTTTTGGTTTCAATGTACAAAGCTCATATTACGACATCAACAAAAGTAAGTAATGCCTTTCTGTAGCTGTTGGTAGGCGTGGAGTGGCTCAATGTCATTTAATAAATATACACAAAAAGACCAAAAACCCACAACGATTTCTCAAAAGTTCGATTTAGGACTGAAAAACTTATGGTTATGGTGTGGTATAAAAATATCCTTCATTGTAAAACAAAAAAATCTATGAATGCTTCCTTTTTATGCTAGGTGTTTTATTATTGTGGGTCGAGAAGACTTGAAGAGTTTAAAGTGCGGCTTGTTGCGCGATTGAAATGCAAGCTTTTCTCTTCACACCATGCAACAAACAGCCGAGGTGACCAAAAGTACCTGCGGTTTTTTAACCGTTACTCTCTCGCTCGGCTTAAATTTGTTTCGTTTCTGTTCCTGTGCAAACATGCAGAGATGCTGTCAGTCAGAGACGCAGGAAACATGAAGTTGATCATTTCAAAGTCGCTCATTTCTGCACATAGTTTGGAAAACAAATATTTTTTTATTTGTTTAAGACGGCAAAATTTGCATCACATTAAAACCTTTGACATTAAAATTGTGTTCCAAATAATCTATAAATGTCTGGTGTTTTGATACATTTTGTTAATGAAAACCTTTTTGATGTCAGAGTTGCAGCTTCAAAGTCAGTGACAAACTGAATAAATGGCTGAACAGGTTTCTGTTGCAGTCTGCACTGGACTTCCTAGAGCTATGAGTGAAAAGATGAAGGTGCTTGACAAGTTAAAAATATCTTTTTATCTTCAGTAAAATATACCAAATAACCAACGATGTGTTGAGCTCAGTGCAGCTGCAGCTCTGCGGTGACATCAGGTCCTTCCTGCGCACTGCACTGCAGCCTGGCACAATAAACACTCGTTTTAATAAGGAGTTTTTAGTATTTTAGGAAAGTTTTCTTTACAACAAAGTGGTTCATATTTGAATTATTTTGAATATAAAATATTTTTTCTTTGATGTAAGTCATTATTTCACTTTAATCACATGTAGGAGAATAGTGGGCAGAAAACCAAATGAACCTATTTTAATTTAGTGACTTTTACAAGCACAATGCGAGTCATTGTACGGTAGATACAAACTATTTATGGAGTGACCGATGTTAAGCACATCCTATGAGTCCTGCTCTGGATGAGTCCTGCACTGGATGAGTCCTGCACTGGATGAGTCCTGCACTGGATGAGTTCTGCACTGGATGAGTTCTGCACTGGATGAGTCCTGCACTGGATGAGTCCTGCACTGGATGAGTCCTGCACTGGATGAGTCCTGCACTGGATGAGTCCTGCACTGGATGAGTTCTGCACTGGATGAGTTCTGCACTGGATGAGTCCTGCACTGGATGAGTCCTGCACTGGATGAGTCCTGCACTGGATGAGTCCTGCACTGGATGAGTCCTGCACTGGATGAGTCCTGCACTGGATGAGTCCTACATTGGATGAGTCCTGCACTGGATGAGTCCTACATTGGATGAGTCCTGCACTGGATGAGTCCTACATTGGATGAGTCCTGCACTGGATGAGTCCTACATTGGATGAGTCCTGCACTGGATGAGTCCTACATTGGATGAGTCCTGCACTGGATGAGTCCTGCACTGGATGAGTCCTGCACTGAATGAGTTTTGCACTGGATGAGTTCTGCACTGGATGAGTTCTGCACTGGATGAGTTCTGCACTGGATGAGTCCTGCACTGGATGAGTTCTGCACTGGATGAGTCCTGCACTGGATGAGTTTTGCACTGGATGAGTCCTGAACTGGACCCCTACTTGCTTTAGGAACTCTCTTCATTTTTACTCAGAGAATTTTGCCCACAAAGATGTGATGGCAGTTATGGTGTCTCTGCTTTATTAGTACTTTAAAAAATCGGTAACACTTTTATTTGCCGGGTTGTGAATAATACTGATATGACACCGTCATAAACATGACATAACACCTGTCATGAATATAATATTTATGACTGTTGTCAAAGAGTCATTTGGTAAATCATGACACTTTTAATACAAAGTTGACATTCAAAATGTCTTTGTTATTACAACTTGATATTAACCAAGACATTATGATCTGACATAAATTTATGTATTACTGATTAAACTTTAGCTCTGATGACATAAAACTACATAATTTTTAAATGACATTTTATGACAATAGCCATAAATATTCATGAAGGCTTACATGACAGGTGTTATGTCATGTTTATAACGGTCTTATTCACAACCAGTAATCCACACAGCATGACACCTCCTCTACCAGCATGAACGGCACAAGTAAGGAGTGATCCATGTTTCAAGATGCTTTTACCAGATTTTGACCCAACCATGTGAAAGATGCACCTGAAATGAAACAAGGACAGACTTTTCTTGGCTGTTAATGTGAAATCATTGTTTGCCTTGTTGCCTGTTGGCTGACATGAGCTGCTCTATATGTGACCACAACCTGGTTTTCAGTTAGTTTTTAATAGAACTTCTGCTGTATTTCATGATATGCTCTGTTTCAGATCTGAAGAAGCTTTTCCCCTTAAACTGTAATGAAACAGTCCAATCCTTCCTCAGGGTATGAAGTATTAACCATCACCTCTGCATTTCAGTCACCTTGTGTGACCTTTGAAAAGAAACAAGCTTCAAATGGAAACTCCTGTCTGATTACAGAACCCAGGTTTTCCACTACCTTTGTACTTGCATTTTTCTTTGTGGGCTTTGTGTATTCGGCATGTTTATGAGGCAAAAACATTAATGCAGGATGAATTTAAGGTTTTTAACTGGGCAGATACATACTCAACCATTCATTAAAACCTAAACCAATGACCTGAATAAAATGTATTTGACACAAGTTTGCAGTGTTGTTGGGAAAAGTCTGCTTACTTTTAGAGCCTTTCACTGTCATGTCAGGATGATTTTGATAGATTAAATAAATCTACATGATTTACATTAGGTAACAGATGACTTATGGAGAAGAGGAAGTTACTCAGCTAACTGCTGAAGTGGTCAACTGAATAAACCTGACAGAGTGAAGAGTCACAAAATAAGTCTGCTTGGAGAAGGATGAGGGTTTGAAGCCATTTCCAGTTAGAGCTGATCTGATTGAGACTAATGTACTGATTCCTGCCCATGTTTCTGACCTGGATTACAGAATGGATTATTTACATTTTAAGGTTATTACAACCTTCAGGAGAGTCCAATCCTTCAGATCTTCAGTGTGAATCAAATAGTGTAGGACATAGGCCTGGATTTTACCACACCAGATATGATATCTCCATATTCTGTAAGAAATGTATACAATAGCTAAGATTGTATTTTGAGGCAAAAAGCAACCTGGACATTTTGTGATATAAAATATGTGCACCTTTGCTCTACTGAAGTTAAATACTCTCTATTTCTGTGTTGTGTTCCACATATTTCAGAAAATGTATATTGACAACATAATATAAAGCTATATATGATTTTTGCTAATCAAAATCTAAAGGTGCCACGTGCAGCGACACCTTCTGGTGCAGTAACACCCTAAGGTGTTACTGCTTCCTTGATTCAGATCGCTCAACTCAAAGAGAAGGAGAACATAAAGCCAACCGTCTGTCTGCAGCTCCATCTCAACCTCAACGCTCAGCATCACGTCCCCTCAGCCTGGTAAGCATTTTGAAAACAATTGAATCCGTGGAAATGAAACTCATACATATTACAGAATTTGAGTAGATCTCACAAAACTTTATTTTGCTAAATATTTAAAATCAATAATAAAACTGTCTGGTTTTCTTTGTCAAACCAGGCAGTTCTAATCTTCTTTCATTTGACTTTTAGGCTCTGCTTCAAATTTTATGCTCATATTTAGAGGATTTCTTCAGAATGATGATGTGTGATGACTTTCAAATATTTGTTTTTCACAGGAACAATGATAACTGTCTTCATAAAGTTTGCTGCTTTTGTTGCAACCGCGCTGGCAAAAGGTATTATTCAGTTCTTAACTATATTGTATGTCATTTGGTAATTGATATTTTTTGTTAAAATTTATTGGATAAAGAATAAAAACTTTTAATGGTATTTGCTTATATGGAATTATGCTTCACAGTTTGTTTCTCTAATTTAACTATTTGTATACAAATATTTTCAATAAAATAGAATTATAATGGAAAGTCTATTTATTTCATCAACTCTGTAAAATAATTAAAACACTTATAGATTAGTTATTCACAGGATAATATTTTCTGAGTCGTATTTCTATTGACCATGATTATTTTTAAGTTACAACTAATGAAAATTGGGAAAGACATTTTAAATGTTGGTTAATGAAAAGTATTTTTAATATTTGCTTAAACATAATTATTTTCAAAAGTATTTCAATCTGACTAATGATCTTCAGTGACTGAATTTAACTCCAAAGTTTACATGAAGCTTTTCTTTGTTTCTTGTAGAATCAATCGAGTGTAAATTTTATGATTCCGCTGGAACTCAGCCGTGTTATGGAGCAGAAGGACAGCAACTCATTTTTCACCTTTCAAAGACAAAAATGATTGATTTTAGATTGACAAAAGATGGCGAGTACCAATTTTTAATAACATGCAGTAATGGGAAAGTGGACATCAGGGGCCAAAATGTTGATCAGTTTGAGGAAATCCGACCTGGAACATTCAGTCTGGGAAACGCAATGAAGAAACATTCTGGACTTTACTCCCTGGAGGAATACGATGCTGCAGGACAACGGATCAGAAATGTCCAGGTCCACATAAAAATACAAAGTAGGTTAATATTCTGAAAGAAATGTTGTGATTACATCTTGCATGTTGGTGATTATTGTACAACAACAATTTGCTCAAGAATATAACTTTTATCTATTTTACAACAGAATATATATTTTAGTTCATTTAAGATTTTTAAATTAAATTTGTACCATATTAACCCA